CAATGATAGTGATAGTCTCATTTTGAATTAAGTGGAAATTGTCATAAAAATGTAAAATTGTCATAGAAATTGTCATAGAAAATGTAATATATAACTGGAAATTGTCATGGAAATGTAATATATAACAGATAATTGTCATAGAAAATGTAATATATAACAGATAATTGTCATAAAAAACGTAATATATAACAGGAAATTGTCATAGAAAATGTAATATATAACTGGAAATTGTCATAGAAAATATAATATATAACTGGAAATTGTCATGGAAATGTAATATATAACAGATAATTGTCATAAAAAACGTAATATATAACGGGAAATTGTCATAGAAAATGTAATATATAACTGGAAATTGTCATGGAAATGTAATATATAACAGATAATTGTCATAGAAAATGTAATATATAACAGATAATTGTCATAAAAAACGTAATATATAACAGGAAATTGTCATAGAAAATGTAATATATAACTGGAAATTGTCATGGAAATGTAATATATAACAGATAATTGTCATAGAAAATGTAATATATAACAGATAATTGTCATAAAAAACGTAATATATAACAGGAAATTGTTATAGAAAATGTAATATATAACTGGAAATTGTCATAGAAAATATAATATATAACAGAAACTTGTCATAGAAAATATAATATATAACTGGAAATTATCATAGAAAATGTAATGTATAACTGGAAATTGTCATAGAAAATAAATAACTTGAAATTGTCATAAAAATGTAAAATTGTCATAGAAATTGTCATAGAAAATCATCAATGATAGTGATAGTATCATGTGTTGACACTATCAATGATAGTGATTGTATTATGTTGACACTATCAATGATAGTGATAGTATTATGTTGACACTATCAATGATAGTGATAGTATTATGTGTTGACACTATCAATGATAGTGATAGTGTTATGTGTTGACACTATCAATGATAGTGATAGTATTATGTTGACACTATCAATGATAGTGATAGTATTATGTGTTCACACTATCAATGATAGTGATAGTCTCATTTTGAATTAAGTGGAAATTGTCATAAAAATGTAAAATTGTCATAGAAATTGTCATAGAAAATGTAATATATAACTGGAAATTGTCATGGAAATGTAATATATAACAGATAATTGTCATAGAAAATGTAATATATAACAGATAATTGTCATAAAAAACGTAATATATAACAGGAAATTGTCATAGAAAATGTAACATATAACTAGACATTTTCATAGATAATGTGATTAATAACTGGAAATTATCATAGAAAATGTTATAAATAACTGGAAATTGTTATAGAAAATGTAGTAAATAACAGGAAATTGTTATAGAAAATGTTATAAATACCGGTAACTGGAAATTGTCGTAGAAAATGTAGTAAATAACAGGAAATTGTCATAGAAAATGTAATATATAACAGAAATTTGTCATAAAAAATGTAATATATAACAGGAAATTGTCATAGAATATGTAACATATAATTAGACATTTTCATAGATAATGTGATTAATAACTGGAAATTATAATAGAAAATGTTATAAGTAACTGGAAATTGTTATAGAAAACGTAGTAAATAACAGGAAATTGTTATAGAAAATGTTATAAATACCGGTAACTGGAAATTGTCGTAGAAAATGTAGTAAATAACAGGAAATTGTCATAGAAAATGTTATAAATAACTGAAAATGTAATATAAAACTGGAAATTGTTATAGAAAATGTAGTAAATAACAGTAAATTGTTATAGACAATGTGATTAATAACTGGAAATTATCATAGAAAATATAATATATAACAGGAAATTGTCACAGAAAATGTAATATATAACTAGACATTTTCATAGACAATGTGATTAATAACTAGACATTTTCATAGAAAATGTTATAAATAACTGGAAATTGTTATAGAAAATGTTATAAATAACTGGAAATTGTTATAGAAAATGTTATAAATACTGGTAACTGGAAATTGTCGTAGAAAATGTAGTAAATAACAGGAAATTGTCATAGAAAATGTTATAAATAACTGAAAATGTAATATAAAACTGGAAATTGTTATAGAAAACGTAGTAAATAACAGTAAATTGTTATAGAGAATGTAATTTAATAACTGGAAATTGTTATAGAAAATGTAGTAAATAACAGGAAATAGTTATAGAAAATGTTATAGATAACTGGAAATGTAATATATAACTGGAAATTGCTATAGAAAATGTAGTAAATAACAGGAAATAGTTATAGAAAATGTTATAAATAACTGGAAATTGTTATAGAAATTGTAGTAAATAACAGGGAATTGTTATAGACAATGTGATTAATAACTGGAAATTATAATAGAAAATATAATATATAACAGTAAATTGTCATAGAAAATATAATATATAACAGGAAATTGTCATAGAAAATGTAATATATAACTAGACATTTTCATAGACAATGTGATTGATAACTAGACATTTTCATAGAAAATGTTATATAAATAACTGGAAATTGTTATTGAAAATGTTATAAATAACTGGAAGTTGTTATAGAAAATGTAGTAAATAACAGGAAATTGTCATAGAAATGTAATAAAAACTGAAGCATGGAATTTTAATCACATAATTAAAACCTGTTATAACATTATATTACAGCATGATTTATCTGAGACTAAATTAAAAACATCATTAGATTCAGTTATTGAAGAATGTGTGAGTTTTGTTGGAGTAGATTTAAACACTGGTAGTGAATGTCTGTTGAAGTAAGTTTTTTAATTTAGTCTAAGAAATAGTCGAAAAGCCAAAGTTGAAAAATATGTAATCTGAGTTATTGCCCTTTATCTTATATCCTTTCAACACATTTGGATTGACTTTTGTTATTGGAAGTCTTTTCTAAGTTTTAAGTTTTTGTTTTGTTTGTTAGATTTCATTTCTGCTTTCATTGATTTATGGAATTAATGTCTCTATATATATGCTTATAAGGATAAATCCGGAAATTTTAGTGTCAAGGAAGAAATGTTGTACAGGTATACTACCTCTTAGGATGACCCAAAATATGAAGTTTTAAACTCGGTTAAAATGAGTGGCCATCTGTCAACTTACCTGGTGTCATAACTATACAACAGAATCCATCTATAATCCAATAAATCCATAAAACTAAGTAATAATTCAGTAATCTTTGAAACATGATTCGAAGCGTCTTTCAATAATTATGTAGTTTAACGCATGTGAATATCTATTGACAATGGCTTATTTATCTTTTAGACGTATAGCTGGTTTAAATGCTACAAGAGCTAAGAATATAGTGGAATGGAGAGAAAAGAATAATGTATTTACTAATCGTCAACAATTACTCTCTGTTAAAGGAGTAGGTAGTAAGAGTTTTGAACAATGTGCTGGTTTTATAAGAATAGTTAATTCTGGTCAACTACCTCAAGCTTCTACAAGGTTTCTAATACTTACTTACTTTTTAATCTTGAGGTGGTCTGTAGCACAGTTAGTTAGAGTGTTGAAAACTTTACATGATATCAGAATAGTACTGTTAGTCTAAGAATGTCTTTGCGTTGATAAACATAGGCTTGCGGCAAGTCTCGCAAGCGAATATGCCCACCAGCAGCTTGATAAAGAGCTAAATGTGAACGGTAAAACAAACTCTATATCGTAGCCTGTAGAGTGAGCACGAGCCAAAAAATCATCAGATCCTGACCAAATTCAACAGTGCACATCTTCATAATGATATTGACACACATACAAAAGATCACAAGAATCAATAGAGAATTGTAGTCTGTAGAGTGAGCACAAGGTTTGAGAGATATCCATACAATTCGATCACGATCGTTTTTTTTTCTCACTTTTTTGACTCGATTTCTTGAGAGATATCGCATAAAACTCTGATATCACTTTTTTGGTGCGTGCTCACTCTACAGGCTATGATATAGAGTTTGTGTTACAGTTCACCTTTAGCTCTTTATCAAGCTGCTGGTGGGCGTATTCGCTTGCGAGACTTGCCATAATGAAATACTTACTCACTTATGGTTGATATACTTCCTCATGTGAAAAGCTCATTAGCTGCTATCAATGTTTCGCCAAAATGTTGTTTCGGATTTCCGGTTTTCGTTTTGCAGTTCGTATCGTTAGTACTTCGTTCATTTATTTATACTGGCAACTTCTATTTTCACCATTCCAATTGTGTGGTGTCTATGGTTCTCGTACATTTTTAAATGTTTACTACATAACAACATATCTATCACTTATTTGAGATAAAATCAATGGATTTTGCAATTTAAATTCTTTTGAATAACATAAGCGTTCTGGATGATAGAGATTACAGGTGGCTGAAATTAAGGACATTTCTGGACATATCCTTTTGCAGACAGTATGCTGATATGTCTAATTGTAGTATGTCCAAACACCTATCAATTCCTTATTTTGTTATTGTAGTGAGCCTGTTTGTAAGGATATAAAAGACAGAAAAAGAAAGGCTGCATCAGGAACGAGTAAATCCAAGAAAGCTAAATTAGACAAGAACATTGAACCTAATCCATTAGATATGACACCAATACACCCTGAATCATATACTATCGCAAATAGGTTTGTATACTCTTAGTTGACTAGGAATACCTCAAATAGATGAAAGTAATATTTTGTTATGTTATTCCAGTTTTAAAGGAATTGTAAAGAGATCATCTTTGTCTATCAGGGACACTGATAGCATCAATTTGCACCATTACAATTTTCAGTCAAATGCTTGTAGTTCCTGCAATTTCACGAAGAACAAAGTGTACTTTATCACATAAGGTCCTTAGGAATTAGTAATTTCATAAAACACTTAGTTTTAGTGGAATTGCAAGAAACACAGATATCTGATTGAAAATAGAAATGGTGCAAACTTTTTATACATGAAATAGGGTGTAATAAATAATAAAACTTGACATCAAATTCCATTATGAGGTCATATTGTAATTTTAATCTTAACTGCCTTCCACCATTTGTAGTTTGTTTCTTCCCCTGATGAAGTCAAAACTTTTTTGACGAAACGTTGGGTATGAAAGGATGGTATTTGATGTCAAGTTTTATTATTTATTACACCAAGTTCAGTATACATCAAATGAATCACTGTACTACTAGTAGTATTGGTGATCCCATCAAAAAGTCTTCTGTGATTTGTTATTGCTGCCTGTTTTTTCTTTTTGGAATCACCACATGAAATAGGGGGCGTATATTGCCGTCACCTCTTTCCGTTGGTCCGTTGGTCCATCGGTCCGTCTGTCCACAATTGCTCGTAAACACTCTACAAGGCACAATTCTTGACTGATTTCGACGAAACTTAGTATGGTTGTTTGTAATCACCCAAGGATGAACCCTATTGAAAATCAGACGAATTGAAAAATATTTACTATAATTTTTGCAATAATAGTTATTGCCCTTGTTCTTGAAACGCTCGTAAACACTCTAGAAGGTGTAATTCATGACAGATTTTGATGAAACTTGGTATGAGTGTTTGTTATCGCCCAAGGATAAACCCTATTGAAAATCAGAAAAATTGAAAATATTTAGTATGAGTTATTGCCCTTGTTCTTGAAAACGCGTTCAATTTTAGCTTGTAAACAATCTAGAAGGCGCAATTCTTGATGGATTTTGACGAAACTTGGTGTGAGTATTTTTTATCACCCAAGGATAAACCCTATCGAAAATCAGAAAAATTGAAAAATATTTAGTATCAGTTATTGCCCTTGTTTTTGAAAACGCGTTCAATTTTTAGTTCGTAAACACTCTAAAAGGCACACTTTTGACGGATTTTGACGAATGTTGGCTTGAGTGTTGGTTATCACCCAAGGGTGAACCGTATTGAAAATCAGAAGAATCCAAAAGTATTGAGTATGAGTTATTGCCCTTTGGCATGAGTGTTGGTTATCACCCATTTAGTATGAGTTATTGCCCTTGTTCTTGAAAACGCGTTCAAATTTTAGCTTGTAAACACTCTAGAAGGGACAATTCTTGATGGATTTTAACGAATTTTGGCTTGAGTGTTGGTTATCACCCAAGGGTGAACCCTATTGAAAATCAGAAGAATCCAAAAATATTGAGTATGAGTTATTGCCCTTATTCTTGAAAACGCGTTCAATTTTTAGCTTGTAAACACTCTAGAAGGCACAATTCTTGACAGATTTTAACGAAATTTGGCTTGAGTGTTTGTTATCACCCATGGATAAAGCCTATTGGAAATGAGAAAAAATATTTAGTATGAGTTATTGCCCTTGATCTTGAAAACTCGTTCAATTTGTAGCTCATAAAAACTCTTGCCGAATTTTGACAAAACTTGGTTTTATTATTCATTACCGCGCTGAAGATTGAATATTTGTCTTCTAGAGTTTTCACGAGCTAAAGACGTTTTCAAGACCTAGGGCAATAACTCATACTCAATATTATTCAGTATCGCCCTAAAGAGTTCAAAAAAAGTGTATGACTGAAGGTTGAATATTTCATACTGGTGATTGTTACTGTACTGCTATATTTTTTTGTTTAAAATCAAAGCTGCCAGTGGGCGTATATTACCTTGCCTGGCAAGCTATCTTTACAATCTCTTTAGACATTAACTTAAAATGCATTTGATACAAAGTATTTTTTATTCAAAGATTAGTTCAAATATTTTCAGCAAAAGCTTTGCTATAAAAGCTATAAAATAGTGGGTACATCAAACAGTAACCTCAGAGCTTCAAGCTTCATCAATGAGTATAATCTCCTATACAATGTTTGGTTAGACAAATAACAATAGCTGTATATTAATCAAATTATTTTCATTCTAGATTAATAAGTGATATTGGTTTAAATAACAGTGATATATGTACAACTGACTTTATAACTCAAGTTAAATCTTATCTAAAAACACATGGTTAGTATGGTTATATACTGTAAATGAAATTGTACTGTAAAAAATGCTCTAAACGGAGGTTGATATTCTTCCTCTGAGACTCAAGTATGATTGGTCAAAAAGAATGGCACACTTGTCCCTTTAACCACCAGAATGGACTCTCTCTACAGTAACCCTCAACTTAAAAGTCCAAAACAATCATATACCACCAGATTATAATGACTCTATAATGAACTAAATTTATCAGCATTAATTAATTATACATGTATTGTAACCTAATATACAGTGTATATGCTCATTTTTCAGATTTAAAAATATTAAGTGAGAAATATGGAACTGGTTTACCAACATTAACTTTAATAATTGATGCTTTAACACAAACTAAATATGATATAAGAGAAGGTATGTATTGTTTATCTATTTATTTTGATGTTGAAAATAAAATTGTTATGTTAAGTCTGCTTTATCTTCATAATGGTCAAGGTATTGCTAATAAATGCGAACTTCATGTTTTACCTTGACTGCAATGATAGCTTTCTTTCTTGTATCATGGAATGCAGCTATTGGATTGGATTGTATGCCAGCTAATACAGCCAATCATAGCCCTTAACAGACAGGCTGTGAACTTATGTCTTGTTGTCTCTGATTGGCTGTATTCTATTTTAACCAAATCACTACATTTACAAACTTTCGTGATACAAGAAAAGTGCCTATTGCAGTCATAGTATAAGACAAGCTCGACATTGTAAAGATGAGTCTGCTTAGGTCAAGACCTGGGTATCGATTACCAAATTGAGATCGATTATCGATGGCAGGCTTCCAATCAATAATCAATTAATAATCGAAATAATTCAACTGAGAAACATTGTAAATACTACTTGAATAAATTATGGACATGTGAGACAAACTGGTATTTTTCCAAGTCATTAGAACACCTCTACTTTTTATTCATAGAAGTATTAGCATGTTCATTTTCATAAATGAAAATAAGGGAACCGATCTTGAAGGTGTATTCAGATGGGTTTCAATAAAAGCACTGGTTTAAGTCACAAAACTGTTTTTCTAGAATTATTACAGCTTTACATATTTTATATTTCAGGTAATCAGAAACCATTATTTAAACAAGGTATTACTGGTATAGAAGATTTAAAAACACAATCTACCTTAACAGGAAGAGTCACTAATGTTACACATTTTGGTGCCTTTGTTGATATAGGAGTCGGTCAGGATGGATTAATACATACTAGTAATATGTTTACAACCAGAGGAAGACAAGAACTTCATCTTGGAGATAGGGTACAGGTTTTAGTCACAAATATTGATGTTTACAAGAAACGAATAGCTTTGAAACTTTTAGATGTGCTATGATACAGATCTAAACAGAGATAGCATTTACCAAAGTATATAACATGAACGTTCTCAAGACTTTTCTAAAGGAGAAAACAAAGGACATTTATCTACAACTCAGCTGAATATTCTACTTTTATATTGAAGATTGAAGAGAGGTTTTGTGAACTTAAAATGTGTATAAGGGACACTGATAACATCAATCTTCACCATTCCAATTTTCAATCAGACGTCTGTGGTTCTTCTGATTCCACTAAAACGTTGATTTAGTGGAATTGCAAGAAACAGAAAACTACTCACAATTATTGTGGTTCAAATTGATGCTATTAATGCCCTTGATACACATACAAAATTTAGAAAACTTCGTAACAATCCCTTTGGTATGTGAGATAACACAGACCTACATATGGTTGAGGGTTGAGTGTATCATTAACATTGTTTCCCCCCAAAAAAGGGGGAAAATTTAGAATTATCATTTAATGAAGTGAAGTATTATTTAGATAACACAAAGACGTGTGTAAGGAGATTAAGTCAGATTATTTATGTAATGAATGTGTTTATTGTGTAGTAGAAAATTACATGAAATGTTAACAACAAAAATAACTACAAAAGATCAGATAGAGATGGGAAAGAAGTTGTCAAGGAAAAGGATGGGGTGGGTTTGGGTGACTAACAAAGACCACCCCATCTTCATCGAAAGCATAAAAATAGCATACAAAAAATAAAAGAGAGAAACAACCTTTTTTTCACAAGGATAACAACTCAAGTTCACAAGTGACAAGGATCATGCCTACCTTTACTAAGCCTCTTTGACATTGATTTTTCAGGATTATCTATAGGAATAATGTGAAAAATTTACTTTCACACTGAGATTAGCGAAGGAATTACATTTTATATTGAGCATAGTCTGACTACATCTACGGGAATTCTTTTTGAGATGGCTTTGAATGCACACACATTTTCAAATTCACAAAATCTCCACAACGTCCCAAAGAGGCTAGCGTCGAATGCAATTAACAAGAATGGTGTCCGGAAAGGTCTAAGATGCAATGAGACCAACCCTAATTGTTATAGGCATTAAATGTCCAGTGATGAAATGTGAAGCGTATATTGGTATAACTGTGTCCGTCGGTCCGTCCGTCCGTCCGTCCGTCCACAATTGCTCGTGAACAATATAGGGACACAATTCTTGATTGAATTGGACAAAACTTGGTGAAATTGTTCATTATCCGCCAAGTATGAACCATGTGAAAAATCAAAAAGCTATGATAAGAGTTATTGCCCTTGTTCTTGAAAACGCGTTCAATTTTTAACCATTTTTTAACCAATGCACAATTCTTGAAGACGAAACTTTGTGTGAGTTTTTGTTATTACCCAGGGATGAACCCTATTTAAATAAAAATATTTAGTATGAGTTATTGCCCTTATTCATGGAAACGCGTTCAATTTTTAGCTCGTAAACACTCTAGAAGGCGCAATTGTTAACTGATTTTGATCAAAACTGTGAAATTATTTAACGCCAGTTTGACCAATGTACCTTAATCTCAGAAACTATTTTTTTAGTCAAGCTAATCAGTAATAGTGTTCACAGCTCACCCTCGAAATTTGAGCATTCAAATCCATGTGTGTCCAGAATAATCTGCGTTTGAAAGTAAAGACGATTCTGCCATATATAGAAAAGACATTATTTAGAAATAGAAAGTAAAATTCCTAGTTTGAGGTATTTTTTTTTAATGGAATTTTGATTTCTAGTACTTCTGATAACTAATTATATATTATACATTTTATTCCAAACCCAAATCAACCCCCGAAAATATCGAACTTGTCCCTATAAGACGGAAGTTCGTAATAGATTGACATTGGGAATATGCACCGAAAGAGGAAAGGGAAATAAAACGGAAAATGATTAATATGTGTAATTACCCTTGTTCTTGAAAAATATTGTTCAATATTTAGTTCGTAAACACCGCTGAAGGCACAATTTTTGACGAAACTTTGATGTAATTGTCTATAATCACCTAAGGTTGTACAGTATGAAAAATATAACACTCTAGAATGCACAATTCTTGAAGTTGAAACTTGGTTTTATAGTTTGTAATCACTCAAGGATGGACCCTATTGAAAATGATAATATCGGAAAATATTTTGTATGAGTTTTTACCCTTGTTCTTTAAAAAGCGTTCAACTAAACTGAAGGCCAAAAGAAACTTAACTACTTCAAAATTGAATTTGAACCAAAAATATGTAGCGAAATTTTTCATCCAAATTACACTACGTTTGTTAATTATACCCGAGCACTGCTCAATGTGGGAAAATCTCATAAAAGTGAAAAACGTGATAATTGAATAAAAAAAAATGTATGTGCACCAAGGGTATAACAAGTGGGTTGCCTAGCATGATACTCCCACATCTCTGATAAATTTTCTGTGTATCACGGGCAGTCACCAATCTATGTCAAATCTTACCAAAAATCTAATTTGTCAAAGAAATTCTGACATAAACTGTCACCTCAATCGCATTCACAAGTCACATTTAACATAAAATGTATTATTAAAATCAGATGAAATCTTTATAACTCCATAGTATTCATGAAAAATTTTGACGCTTTTTTACTAAATCAAGGGCAATAACCCAAAATCTGTTCAACGAAAAATTAATAAAATCGATTTAACGAAGATCTTATCAATAAAATATTCACACCAAATTTCATTAAAATCAGATTAAAACTGCAGTCTGTATCGAGTTTACAGGCAAATTTTGACGTGTTTTACTATGTCAAGGGCAATAACTTAAAAACCGTTCATCTAAAAATCGTCAAATTCGAACTTGACTAAGATCTCATCAATATAAATGATCAAATCAAATTTCATTAAAATCAGGTAAGAAATGTAGTCTCTATTGTGTTCACAGGCCAAATGTCGATAGGCGAACAATAACCGATCACATAATGTGGGCGTATAAAAACGGGTTGAATGGAATGTCGTGCTTAGACACCGATAAAAATTGGAATAGTACGGATGGGGGCCACCCATGCCAACATCGCGAAAAACTTCGGTTGTTCCTGTGCTATTGTAACAAACTTGATGCAACGATACGGGCAGACAGGGCACACGTCAGATATGTCACGTGATGATCTGTGCTTTCATCACTGGAACCTCAACGAGATAATGAGTCATTTCACAGGGTTAATCGACAGACAGTGTCCAGGCGACTCCGAATTCAAATATTCAGGGCTTACAGGACGTACAGAGGACAACCCTTGGCAGATGGAGATTTAGATGGGCTCACACTGCACGACGACTGGTTGAGGTTCGTCTTCAGTCAGTTCTGAAAGTCGGTTCTGTTTTTCAGAGATGATGGGAGGTTGAACGATAGCGTCTGCCAAGAGGTGGTGCGGGAGAGTGTCATGATGTGGAAAGGAGCCATGCTCTGGGCTTTGAGCTGGAGAGGATTCCACTTAATGAAAACCCAGCTTTACATCGATGACATTCTCCGTCCGACAGTCAACACCATCTCTGACCACATCTCTCAGCCACATTTTGTAATTTATTCACATGACAACACCAGGTCCCATACATACATACAAAATCATAACCAACTTCCTTGGGTCGAAAATATCAACGCCTTATGGCCTGCATGTTTCCCTGACTCTAAGGTATCATGGATCGTCGTGTTCGTCAGCGATAACGCCCTACATATATCAACAAGGACTCATCCTGTCCCACAAGCAGGAATGGCGACCTATCCCTTATGATTCCGTGTTCCTTTAGCAACGGTACGATGATTATTCACATCTAACCGTTGCTTCAACAATCCCATATTCTCGTCATTAGAGACTAAAAACGATATATCCAATCAGGAATCTCTTGAGGTGATTGAAAATGCCGGCCTTCGATGAATTAGCATATTCGCACCAACCATCCTGTCGATAAGTGATCGGTGTGAAACTTGACAAAAAGGTATTTATACGTGTCCGCCTTAATATCAAAAATTTTAGAAAATTCTTACGTTTTCTTTCATAATAAATAAATTTTCAAAGTTTTCAGGTGGGATTTTCCCCGGTAACGACGAAATGAGAGGGGGCAAAACTCATTTGTGTAGTCGTACTTGCTTAATTGAGTCATTGATTCGCAGGTCATTTGAAATACATGTAAATGTGAATATTATTCGAGGAGGCGTACAAATTGTTGATTTTTTTTTAATTCTTGCTCTGAAAACAACGCAACCATGAACTTGGGGATTTGGTACTTCAAACTTTGCGTTTGGTTATTCAAACGTTTTCCCGCAAAATGTTGTGTGAAGGAATATAATTGGAAGAGAAGTAAACTCTCTTTTCAGCCAATCAAAGTTAATGACGAGAATATGGGATTGTGAAAGCAACGGCTAGATGGCCATTATCATCGTACCGTTGCTAAAGGAACATGCCGTGACTCAATCAAACGATCGTTCCTCACTTTGTGTGACTCTGCTTGACACGATAACCGGAAGCTAAACATTTGCCTTTTTGTGACTTATCAATATGTTTAAAACATGTCAATCCAATAATTTATATATTGTGTTGTTTTATATCTAGGTTGTTTTCAAACCTTGGTAAAGTTTCTTTTGACCTCCAATTTAGGAAACACTTTAATCAATTATAAATTGATTTTGATGAAAATTAGTGAAATTGTTTGACATTACCCAAAGATGATTGAAAGAAAACGGAAAATATTTTGTATGAGTTTTGCCCTTGTTCTTGGAAACGCGTCCAACCAAGCAAAATAAAAGCCAAATTGTGTCTCCTATTTGTGAAGGCTTCAACAAAAACTCCTAAAGTTGAAACTGCTTTATTAACAATAATTAGACCTACACTTTTTTAAAATATAAATTTTTAGATATTAGAAACTTTTTCACTGTTCACTGTATCAGAGGATCACATGATCACATGATCTTAACACGTAAGAATGGTCGAAAAATATCAGAAAGTGTCACAAATCTGAAATTGAAATACTACGTTGCTCAAGCTAAATTAACTCAGATAACTGTAGAGATACAAAATAATGAAACCAGTCGTATTTCTAGGGAAAAATTGCCGAAACTGTTGCAGCACTGTGCTTCGCAGATATAGGTTAAACTATTTATCGCCATTAACAGATAAATTTTGAATTGCCATCGTTCGGATCAAATTAATTCATTTTTGATGTTTAAAATTTGTTCGCTCTCTTGTAGGCTATAGGTTTTCGAAGAGATGCGACGCATCGTTAAGTTTTTGACATGTATATTAGTTGACAGGTTTACACGTAATATACATAGAACATGTCTTTATGACTTTCCCTTGACAGTCTTCTTTTTAATTTACTGTTGTCGCTATACTCAGGAGAGTTTGGGCTTGGCTTATTATTTTTCTTCCTCGGTCCAAGATAGGGAGGCATTTTGAAAAAAACGATTACGGCACTCAAATTCCCGCTTTCGCCATGCCACCCGAAATCCATTAAAGGCTGAACGCTTTTGTTCAGATATGGATATCGCTTCTCAGGATGCAAAAATGTTAAATTTCTATGTAATTTATACTGACGACAGTCTATCAGTGGTCAAATATGAAAAAAAAAATAAACAAAACTAAATTATAGACAGGATTTAGTAACAGATTTTCTCTCAAGCAAATAAATATAACAAATTTTCCAATTTAGAATTACCACATAATTTTTATACGCCCACACATAAGATGGGCGTATATTGTAATCACCCTGTCCGTTCACATTTGGTTCGTGCTCACTCTACAATTCTTTACAGATTCCTTTTGATTTTGTGTGTCGATGGCATTATGAAGATGATCCTTATCGATTTTCGTGATGATCGGATAATTTTTCACCGAAATATCGTGTCTGACTTGACTTTTCACTCTATTAGCTATATTTAAAAACTTGGTGGAATTTCTCAGCATAAATAACTGGCAGTAGATATATATGTCATTGAATTCAAACTATTAAAATTTCTTTGACATGAGACAAATCTTACTTTAGTCACTAAATACTGTTTTATCATTTCTGACAGCTGCCAGTGGGTGTATGTTATCTTGCCTGGCAAGTTATCTTTTTATCAACGTATATTTACTGACAGTCTACAAATACAGTACCTGATATTTATTTTGTTTTAAAATGTAGATTAGGCTAATGTCGCTGCTCTAGCAAAATTGTTTCCATTGCACACTGCATAGCGTTGTCTGTCTTCGAAAGTGCACACAATATGTCGTGCGTAAAACTTTTTAATTTTTTTGTTTAATAACGACTGACTCATTCCAGCCAACCTTAGATGTCAAAACTGATACACGCATCTTGGCGTTGCAAATATTATTCCGGTTTGAATCACACTAGACAATACCTTAAAAAAATATAATTTTTTATTAATTAATATGAAACAAATTAGCCAATGAAACGTTTTAGTCTGCCTATTAAGATGTCTTTATGACCAAATACAGTTTATCCTTAAACTAAAAATGTCTCGTCCCATCCCATTTATAGCACATTAAACCAAGTTTCCTTATTTTCTAAAACCACTTATTAATCCACATAGCTCGCACCCTGATATTTGTGGGTGTGTGGTAAGGCTGTTGTCAAACAATTGATATATTAATTGATAAAGTCCATGCTAGAAATATACCAACTACTATAGATGACAAATGGTCACTGACAAATTTTGACCATGGTTCGTCACGTGACCGACAGGGAAATTATTTTTCATCAGATTTCGAAGCGGTATATAAATAGAAAAATCATTATTCTTTGAAACATAATGTTTTTGTTAAAAATATAATTATTACACTTTAGACATCTAGAATTAAGTAAAAACTCGAGTAAGGTAAGTCTTTAAATAATTTTCACATTACTTTTATTACTTTTATCGTAAGACAAGACAAGACAATTTAAGACAATTATTTCAAAAGATTAAATTAAATTATGATGTATGTTCAATTGAACAAGTGTTCTCTCTTAAGTGAGTTAGTTGTTTACCTTAAACTCCAGGGTTTTAATATTTAGAAATTTTCACCTTATGTTTTCGTTTAATTCTGAAAGATCTAGTTGTTGACTTGGTGAGGCGCTGGTTGTCCAAATAGAGCGTAGGTTTTCAACCACAGGGACATGTCCCAAGGTGGGGACATCTGCAATTTTCTTTGGGGACATTTGATGTTTCACAGCTAGTCAGATGCTGTGAAAAATAAAAACTTTCCAAATACAATAGATACAACATGTCATATGATGACTACACTATACTCAGCCTAAATTAACATTGTCTAGGAGAACTCAGAGAATTATTACAATCAAACGATGCGAGAACGTGCCTGGTTTCCAATCATTGATATTTAGGGACATCATTTTCTTGCTGATTTGATTTGGGGACACATACAAAAACAGGTTGAAAACCACTGATATAGAGCCAATAATCGTGTGCTGGGTGCTTATGACAATAAAAATCAGAGAAAATTTTTGAATATGAATTCCAGAAAGGGCGTAGAACGCAGTGTGGTAAATTTTGCAAGGCAGCAGCATTTGCCTACTACTTTCCATTTACATCTGTCGATTGTCGTATTCGAAAGACGTTATTGTAAATCTGCATCACTGAGACAGAGGGAAACCAAATTGAAATATCTGAGGGTACCATTTCGATCTATGCTTTGAACGAACCACTGACATAACAAGACAGCCGTCAGACATTTAACCAATGAGTTCATGCTTCGTCGATGCTGTAACATCCTTGGCACCACTACAGTGTTAATGGGTTATTGAGCGAACAGAAATTCCATGAAAGACATAATTTCATGGTTAATCATTTTTGCAAAATACTATTTTCATTGTTTTGGGGAATTCAACTACCACTTATAAAAAGGTTTTTCTGAAAATTTTGTGTGTATCGGGGACACTAATTTGCACCATTCCAATTCCACAAAATATGCTTGTATCACAGAAGGTATTAGCGATTAGTGCCGCCATTAAACACAAAGTTTTAGTGGAATTGCAGGAACCACAGACGTTTGATTGAAAATTGTTATGGTACAAATGTCCCCGATACACATAAACAATTTAGAAAACATCTTTACAATTCCTTTCAAGCCTACTGTTATACTCTGTCCAATTGTTTAATATGACATTCTTGAATATAATCGTTATCACTAGACTTTAAGTTGTTAATTATTAGTCATATCATATTGTCATTGGTAACCTTGATTAATTTGATAGGTATAAAATTTGACAGAATAGTTGTGTTAAATGCTATAATTTATCTATTTAACTTGTCTTTTACATTAATATAGTCCTAACATGCGTTGTTTTGCTCCAGGTCACAATTTAAACAATTTACTGACGTAATGTCGTGAACGCTAGTTAATTAACGGGTATAAGAGTTGACTCCAGCCTACAAAAAGTTGACTGTATTGAAACAACACTTTAACAATGAACATAAGGCTAGGACAGTTACATCAATACGCCTATTGCATTTTGATTTTCGTTTGTCTCTTTGGCCCACAGTGTTCTGTTCCAAAGAAAGACGAAACTGGTTAAAGGGATAATAATAATAATATACTCTTTATATCGCTTGGGTCAGAATTAGGTCCAAAACACGTGGACATGGTCTTGTCTATCATTCAGCCCATGGGGACTATACAATAAATGAAAGGGATTTTCTTTTCGTTCTTTGTGGCGCCAGGCAGGATATGCTTACTCTTCTAGACACCTGATACCACTTTTCATTATGAAAATGTAATAACAACTCAATTAATTTTTATACTTCCTCATGAGGAAACTACTAATGTTGTTTGGATTTCGGGTTTCGTTTTGCAGTTCGAGCCGTTAGTACTTGGTTTATTTCTTTCTTAACTTATTATGTGTATCGGCAACATTGATATCATTCCAATTTTCAGTCAGACGTCTACGGTTCCTGCAATTCCACTAAAACTGAGAGTTTTTTTTTACGTCATTATCGCAAAAGCTGTTATTATAATGACCTTTAAGATAGTGACGTCATAAAACGCGTGTTTGAGTGGAATTGCAGGAAACGTCTGATTGAAAATTGCAATAGTAAAAATTGATGCTATCAACGTTCCCGATATACACAGTAGTTTTAGAAAAACCTCTTTGCAATCCCTTTAAAAATGTGGAAGAGTAACCTAAGATTTCCAGGACCCAGTTCGCCACAAATGATCCCCAAATCCACTAAATATTCCCTTTTCGATGTATTTTGTGTCGGAAGGTCACTCTGATCTTCAGAAAATTCAGACAACCAGAAATATAAATCGATGTCGACAATTTAAAAACTTTAAAGTTATTTTGGATTCTTTTAAAAATGTGTAAATGTCAATAAAATGATAAATACTGTTAATTGTAAAAGAAAATATGAAAAATTTAAAAATATTTTGAACAAGCTTAAGATCTCAGTTTAACTTGTCAAACTAATTATTAACAAGCTGATTTGTATTTTTAAAAGAAAGTCTATTGTTTACAAATATTATTTTATGTTCTACATGATCCATCATTTCAAATTTTACATGAGGTTAAAATTTTTCTACCAGGGTCAATTAAGGTTGCTCATTCTATGACATGTATTTTGAGAAAGTTAGGAGTTGATCGGATATATAAATAAAATTTTAAAAATTAAATTTTAATTCTTCAAAAGACTTGAAAGAGTGAGACCGCTACCAGAAAAAAAACAAAAGATCTAGATAGACACTTTATGATTGATCTGATATTTTGTGATGATTAAGTAAAAAGAACGACAGGAGGAACTTGCAATTGAAGTATTTTATTTTCGGTGTGTTGAATATTGCGCTTTCACTTTGGTTCGTTATCATCACAGAATGTACATTAAGGTTTAGGTTCAGAGGCTGATATTTAGAGAAGTTTAACATTTGAAATTTAGCATCTGAATCATCAACCCAATTTTTCCTATTTTAGTGTAAATATTCTGGAACTAAGACGCAATGAAACTTTTTGGATTATTAGTATTGGTAACAACGTTTCGACAAAGTTACAGTAATGTGTATGCGGATTACGGTAAGTCGAATTATAAATTTTGGTGCCTTTGTTAACGGTGTCTCTTTAAGATGACAAAAAATTTAATTTTTTTAAACTTGGCCAAAATGATTCTTTGTTCATCAGTGAACTTACTGGTGTTAAAACTATAATACAATAGAATCCCTTTATAATGTAATAAATCCATTAAACTAAGTAATAATTCATTAAACAAGTAATTTTGAAATATGCTTAGAAGCGTGTTTCAATAATTATTTAGTTTAATGGATATAACGTCTTGTATAGAGATTCTATTCTTTAGTCATGACGCCTGGTTAGTTCAACTGATGAATATATACATACACTTGTTGATTAAGTTTGAGACTTTTTTACGTCTATTCTAAGAGGTAGTATTCTTTTGAAATAAAACAATCATTAATCAGTGAAAGCCTCTTTTTTCACAACAACGGTAACTTTAATGTGTACTGTACATGATATTAGCATTCATCTCATTATCGTACTGCATGGTTTCAAAGCTCCAAAGAATTCAATGAATATATTTGAGTTGGCTCATTTTGGAAAACTACTAGCTAGCTTGGCACTATTTCCGATTACAATAATAAAATATTTTCATTTTTTTAAAATTGTACTCAATTCATCAATTGTAGAGCAACTTAGACATTTTCTATTTCTGATTATGTTTATTTGAATTATTGTGACAGCAAAGCAAATCTTTTTTCTATGCGAGTTTTGTATTACTTTGAACCTATTGATGAAGTCTTAACAACTGATGTTTTGTTTTGCATTCTCAGCAGAGAATTGTGTATCTATTAAAATAGATGAAAAGAAAAGACAAATTATACTCTCTGACTACAATGTTTTCTGAATTGAAATTAGTCAATCATTTTCCAATGAATTACTACTGAGAGTCTTAGATTGTCTTTGTGTTGATGAAAATGTCAACCACCGGAAAAGTTATTATTTGTAAACATAATTATACAGAGGGGAATTTTCATTTGTTTTCACGTGAATTCTCTGGAGGAAAGTGTCTTCATTTTAAATGTGAAATCACTGAATCATATATATCTATAAACACGAGGACATTCTAAGACAAATGACATAAAGTTGAAAATTTTATCATATTTCGAGAAAAAAATCAATTCAAAGATCAATGTAGTCAGACAGTAGTTTAAATGATGATTAACATCGTAACAGGATTTGAATTGCAGCAAAATTAGACACGATAACCTCAATAATTTATTTAGCTGTCTCCTGTATTTCTTTTTTTGCATTTTACTGATTCATCTGCATCATTTCCATCCTGAATCATTTTACACCCACAATAGTCAATCTTTGAGATGCATGTATTTCATAACTGTATCTGCCCGCTGGCTAGAAAAGTGATGGTGTTTGTCTCTTGTAGTGAAATATTAACTCTGTGACTTATGATTAATATAGACATTTTAATAAGTTATACACTTAATTGTCTTGTTACAGTATAATGCGAACTGTATGACACCAAAAATACATTAGCATTTTAATCTATGATAATAACAACAAACATTTGCGACGATGTGCTATGTGCACATAAAGCAGATTTAGAACGTATTTAGCAAAGCTTACGTTTTATATATTCCCATGCCATTTTTTTAATGAGACCTGAAAAAGATCAGGGTTCAATTTACCGCATCGTAGTTTCCGAGTCAAAATATCCCCCAATATTTTCTTTGACAAGTCAAATTTAAAATTTATAACGACCAGCTGCGAATCAAATCAAATTGTATATTTTTCGTAAAAAAAATTTATGAATTGTTAATCAACATTCAACCTGATAAGTCAAAATTGATATTTGGTGTGATAGATTGCTAGTCAAATCTAACTTGAACCCTTCAACAAGATTAGCATAAAATGCTAAACAGAATTCTCGAATAAAAAATAAAACTGACTCATGTCATCGACAAATTTAACAGAATATTAAAATTTGCCTTTTCAGGTTATTCGAATCCCGATAGTTTTGAATATTTAGGAGATTATGGTTATGAGTATGGTTATCCTGGTATCCAGTATGAAGGTGGTACACATGGTATATCCTCAATACCCGATTCTTCTTTTGAAAATACCGCAGGTGAAACCATTGAAGTCCCAAAACAGTTTACAAATCCAGAAACTTCTCACGAAATTGCTTCCCATTCAGGACTTGAAATATCATCGCTCCCAACTACAAACCAAGATAGTTCTGCTTACGTTCCTCACTATCCTGGTACGTCTCAAACACATCACGTCCCTCAACAACATCACGTCCCACAACATATAAACACGGGAATGACCAATCCAACAACTAACAATGTACATGTGAACCAGAATAATCAGCAATATTACCATGGCCAGGTCAATGTCCCCTCACAAGTACCCGCGAATCCCTTGCCTTCAACGAATACACAGAATGTTAATGCATCTTCCTATTACGTCGACCAGTATGGATATTACAGGCCAGTGCCGGCCTCGCCTTCATCGCCTTCCTCACAACATGCACAAGGTATCATATTTGGAGTAGGTTCAGGCGAGCAGACATCCTCCCTAGAAGTACAATCACCAACAACTAATCCTGCAAAATCGTCAGAAGTACCGGTTTCCGACTGGGTAAATTATATAAAATATAATCCAAGTTCTATTCCATTTGATGGCAAATATCCCGCTCAACGACAAAGCTCTTCAGAAATCGCCAATACACAACAATCTGTAGAGCCGTTGGTAAACAGTCAGTCCGAAGAATCAAGTTCCCATGAAATACCAACACAAGAACCGGCAGTCCCAACTATACAACCTTCAACAACGACGACGGTCGCACCAAATGAAGCTGGTAGTAATGAGAACGCTAACCAGGGAGGTGGTGGAGAAGAGGAAGAAGAAGAAGAAGAAGAAGGAGAAGAAAGTGAGTACTTTTTTTATCGATGTGATAGCACTGATCTGTATGGAACTGTATATTTTCGCTGAGCATTTCCATTAACTTAACATTTACTCAATTTCTATTTTCTTGTAAACGCAATGGAAGCTAATGATCTGATTTTGATATGTTTATGTAAACAGAGGACATCTGGTATGATTTGAACTTCAGTTTTTAAGTTTTATCATAATAACTTACTTTAATTTAGCAAAGAATGCAACAAAATTTAGTTGTATGCTATGAACTGCAATTTGTAGTTTACTGCTGTGTGGGGCTATAGACGTATTTCCTTTCGTCGGACGGCCTGCCGTTTAAATTGGAATAATTTCAATAATACGTTGTGACATAATCCAACTGCTTCATTACACTATTAAATGTTTATTTTTGTTACCAAAGGCGATATCACAACACCAATGCCAACAACTACTACCACAACTACCGAACCAACAACAACCACTACCACAACTACCGAACCAACAACAACCACTACAGAGCCAACAACTACTACCACAACTACCGAACCAACAACAACTACTACCACAACTACCGAACCAACAACAACTACTACCACAACTACCGAACCAACAACAACCACTACAGAGCCAACAACTACTACCACAACTACCGAACCAACAACAACCACTACAGAGCCAACAACTACTACCACAACTACCGAACCAACAACAACTACTACAACTACAGAGCCAACAACTACTACCACAACTACCGAACCAACAACAACTACTACAACTACAGAGCCGATAACTACTACCACGACTACCGAACTAACAACTGAACCAACTACTACAGAGCCAACAACTACCGAACCAACAAAAACTACTACAACTACCGAACCAACAACAACCACTACCACAACTGAAACAACGCCGACCATTCCACCATTCTATCAACCTCAAAGACCATTTTATCCATTCCAACCGTCCTTATCGTCAAGTAATGAAGGTAGGTCATGATACTGATCTGATGCATACGTATTTGTTAGCAACTTGGAACTGGATCACTCTTACCAAGGACCACATTGAGGCTAAAATAGCAGCCAGAAGCCAAATAAGAATGACCGCTCAGTTTGTGTCCAAAATAATCTTGATGGTTTGGTGTATGTTCCATATTGTAATAATGTTAACAATAACAATGACAATAATAGAATCATTTGGTTTCGAATTCATATTTTTGTATCATGACTATTGCAGATAGTTCATCAAGTGAAGTATTCAATTTTGATGGCACAATATTTAACAACAAACCAGTACATACCTTTGTACCCGAATATACATACGCACCTACCATTGTTAAACCAACAGAGTCTATTAGCAGTTTTGTGAGCCAACCTTCCACATCAGTCGAAGAAGTAAGTGCTGAAAGCACCGAACAGCAACCATTAGCTCCGGCTGTACCAATTTACAACCAAAATACCCAACATCCAATTCCCAACAATGTTTTTCCTGCAACGAATGCCAATTCTTTAGAACAGGCTGTTATCAATCCGATTTTTCCTCAATCAAACGGTCAAATTACATCAACGATTCGTCCGTTATTGGTGCCCGATAGTTCAATGGAAAACGCACATCAGGGTAGTGAACCAGCATCAGTAGAAACATCCATTGTCCAACCTGGCAATATACGTAAGTATGATTGAAATGAGTCTTTGTTCATCAGTGTTAAAACTATATGACAGAATCCCTCTATAATGCAATAAATCCATTAAACTGGGTAATAATTCATTAAACTAGGTAATTTTGGAACCCACTAATTATTTAGTTTAATGGATATATCGTCTTATATAGAGGTTCTACCCGGTAAATACAACTGATGAATATAAACATACACTTGTTGACCAAGTATTCTATTCAAATCTTGCTCCTTTTGCACATTCATTAGAAAGTGTAATTTCTGTTTAATGAAATTCCCGTTAACTTATATGGAAATGGCCTGATTTTTATACTTTTTATCAAAATATTCAGTTTTTATTTTTATATAAATGCTAATGATTTAAAATAATAGTCAGTCAATTTAATTTATCTTCCTAATTTTTTCTACAGAAATACCACTTGATAACCATGCTTCATTTGAAACTGTTCCACCAACACAACATTTTACGAATTCCGAGGCATCAGAAATCGTTCAAGAACTACCCACGAATAACAATCCCTATCACATGTATTGGAATCACCAAAACATAAATACGCCATTCGTACCTAATTCAGTAGAAGGTGTTAGCAGTTCCGAAGAAAAACATACTATTTATCCAGATATTTCAACGACAGTACGAACACCATCTGAAGAATCTCTCCCATTCTTACCAACATATCCATATTTACCGCCCCAAGTGTCAACTGAGAAAGGACCACATATCCCAGACATGTTATCCATGGAACACGGAAGTTCTATACCCAGCAACACTAAAAGTCATTCTGAAGTAGGAAATGTTGACGCAAGTTCTCTTTCATCAGAGGAAGTCAACAACTATGCAGAGAATTTATCAGTATCATCAAATGAATTATTATCTGAGCTGTTCGAACAGTTAACGAGTGCATCACAAGAAACTCAAGCGTCATCTGAGCAAAGCATTACAGATAGTGGTTCAAGTGAAGTTGAAAATACCATTCCCAATGAGTCTAGTTCGATTTCATCTGAACACATACAACGTGGAGATTCTAATATTATTGATTCCATCGAAAACGTTTCTGTTAGTCCTGGTCCTAGTCCTACACCCGATAGTGGTAGCATACAAAGTCAGGAGAGTATCAGTCAGGGAAGTTCAGAGGAAGATAATGATTCTGAAGAAGAAACGGCAACTACCACAGGTCGCCCAACCACGACCGTAAAGCCACTTATAACTGCAACAGTTGTTATTACAACCCAGTCTACAACGACAACTAGTACAACTCTACCAACAACTACCACAACTCAACCAACAACAACCACAACTCAACCAACAACTACAACAACTCAACCCACGACAAGCACAACTCAACCCACAACCACAACAGCCCAACCTACGACAACCACAACTCAACCAACGACAACCACAACTCAGCCAACAACTACTACAACTATTGAACCTACTATTAAATCAACAACAACTACTAAAGCAACAACAACACATTCAACGACCACAGCTCAACCAACAACCCCCAGAAATCAACCCACTTCCACGGAAACTACTACACAACTAAACTTAGTGGTTGACAGCAGCAGCTCCCAAAGCTCTGAAGAAGATAATGACACCGAAGATGAAAAGACAACACATACTTTATTTGTCACAACTACTACTGAACCAACTACAACAACAAAGCAACCCACTATTACAACAACTACTAAACCAACTTCAACAACAACTGAACCATCTACAACAACTACTGAACCAACAACAACAACTACAAGACCTACTACAACAACAACTGAACCAACTACAACAACAACTGAACCTACTACAACAACAACTGAACCAACTACAACAACACCTGAACCTACTACAACAACAACTGAACCTACTACAACAACAACTGAACCAACTACAACAACTACTGAACCAACTACAACAACAACAACTGAACCATCTACGACAACTACTGAACCAACTACGACAACCACTGAACCAACAACTACAACTACAAGACCTACTACGACAACAACTGCACCAACTACAACAACAAAGCGAACTACAACTATAAAGATTACTGAACCAACTACAAAACCTACAACAACAACAACAACAACAGAACCACCTACAACAACACAACAGCCAACTACAACTACAAAACAGACTACTACCACAGAATCTACGACGACTGAACCAATTACAACTACTACAACCACAACTACAACTGAAACACTTACCACTACACAAACTACAACAACTACTGAACCAACTACATCAACTACCGAACCAACTACAACAACAACTGAACCAACTACAACAACTACCGAACCAACCACTACGCCACTAACCACAACTCGACAGACAACAACTAACAATCCAACTACTACAAGTACACAATCAACCACAGCTGTGGATTCAAGCTCAGAGGAAGATACTGACACATTTACAACAGAAAAACCAGTAGTTGAACCGCCTTCGCCTGCAGGTAAGTTTTTATCAATGTCACGTCTATATTCTAAAGATCAGTTACATCAACGTATAGAAAACCTCATGATGAATTTCTCTTTAAAGCGATATTAATCTTGTACCATATACCTATCTCTATATACATGCTTTATATTTCAGATGCATGTGTTGGTTGTTTAATTGTGAATGGTGTGGGTTATAAAGAACATCAGACGGATTGTAGTAAATATGTTCAATGTGTATTTGGGGAAGCTAATTCGGTTAGAGTGTTTATCAAATCGTGTCCACATGGTTTATATTGGGATCAAAACAGATTGACCTGTAACCATCCTAACCAAGTTAAATGTGAAAATGGTAAGAAATATCCATTGGTATTACATTATTTGGGAAGGTTTTTCTGTCAAATTTTGGCTCATGCAATCCTCTTTTGATATGAGTAGAAGACTTTAATCTAATACATACAAATTATTACAGAGCTGTATTAATTTGGCACACATGGCTGTCCGTTCTTTCGTCTTTCCATCCACACTTCTTCGACCCTTTAACGTTAAAATGACGCGAAAGATTTAAATCACACAATAATTTAAAAAACATCATTGAAAAAAAAATAACGCTCGTCATTTTAAAGATGGGTTTCCTTATTTTTTTAGTGTCAAATTAAGCAAACTATTTGAATAATTGGTGTTTCTAATGAATTATCATGTATTTTTAATCATACCTTGATGTTCTTATTGCATGCATTTAAGAGTTTTAACCAATCATAATTCTTCGTGTATGTGTAGTGTGCATAAACAAAAAAAGACTTTTTGACCTTCCTTGATCGGTCACTCATTGGAATTCTGCTGTTATTTCTCTTCTAATTTAACAAATTATGAATTAATTATGGACATGTGAGACAAACTGGTATTTTTCCAAAGACAGTTGAAAAGACAGTCATAAATGAAAAGAAGGGAACCAATCTTTAATATTGAAGTTTCAGCCTTACATCTTACGTTTGTTATATCAACCGCTTGTTGAAGTGGGTGTTGCTGGACCATCATCTTTAAGAATGGTTAAAGACGTGTTATTCTTCACGCTACATATGATTTAAATAAAGCATAAATGTAAATTTAACCCAATAAACCCCCTTTTTCAGATATTTGTAAAGATCTATCTGTTGTCAGCTATGAAAGTGATTATAGCTGTGGTGGCTATTGGGTATGTAAGAAGGGTAGATCAAGTGGTATGTGTTGTCCTATAGGATACAGTTATCATTCAGTACAACAATCATGTGTTGTAAACCCTAGATGTACAGACAGCTGTGTTGATACTGCACATTCCAGTAAGTGAAATTCAATTCAATTCAATTCCTTACTGATTAACATTAAGATTATTGAACTTAGTATAGCGCTCAATACTGTGAGCATTCAGTAGCGTTTATCAGTAGCGTTTCTGAGAAAAATTAGGTGAAGGGGGTCGAGCAGAGGCCACAAAATAATTCGGGGAAGGGTGGGGTTTGGTTTGACACAGGCTATTCTTTCACTGTTGTTATAAAATTTGAAAGTGGGAACGCCACTTATTTCATATATGTGTTATTAGGACGTGCTTTTAACTATTTCTTCGGAGAATCAAACCCTCCCTTCCACGAAAACCAAATACTGTAGGCCTGAATCAATGAAGGGGGAGATGTTTAGCTTCCACCAAATATATTGGCTTTGACTTGTTTTACAATAACAAAATGGGGGATTGCCTGATAATACTGTCAACGTTTTCTTTTGATCAGTCTAATATCCAGTTTTGGATTTGAAATGGCATAGAAATTGTTTGTAGAGACATTGCTCTAGAATCTGAAGAGAACCTTTATCATAAAAACATGCTAGGAATTTATATCTCTTTCAAATTATTTACAGGTATTTGTGATAAAAGACCTATTAATGGTGTAGATAATTTCTTTCATCAACTGATACCAGGATTCGGGTGGGTGAAGATGCCTTGTGCACCGGGAACCAATTACTTCATGGATACATGTTCTTGTTCAACCTTCGCTAAACCAGTGTCTTATCAGCCCCAGAAACCGGGTAAGAATAGTAATTCTTAGCTGTAAAAAAATGATAGACTGCATTAGACCAAACGTTGATGAGTGATTGATGATTTCAACACAAAAGTCTCTAATGGTACTGAAATTGAATTTGAAAAGGTGAAGGACAATCAGGGGCGGCACCAGTGGGAGTACAGAGGGGAAGGGGCATTTGCCCCCCTAGAAAAGTGGTTTACACCCGCAATTGTACCCCCACTTTATTTTCAACAAATCTAAATATCTACCTTTTTTCTCCAAAATATGTGTCAGAATGCACAAAATCAATTCATTTTTTCTTAAATTTTCTTGAGAGAACTCTCTATGACACTCTATGAGAGGCTTGCGACTATGACACCACCACAGAGTAGCCAAAATTTGAATTCAGCCTCCGCAGTTCTCCGCCCATTGAGTCTGTCTGCCCCTTATTTGTACCCCCAGTCTCGGAATGCTGGCGCCGCCACTAAGAACAATAACGAACTGTACATCTAAACATCATCAACTCCAATTTTGTCTGAGATCATTAATATATGTTTAACATATTTAACACAAACTGATTTTGAACATAAATATTGAAATTCCAACTTAATTTCTTTTTTCAGATTGTAGACCATTATTATATCTACCATTTGATTCTGACGTACGTGACCATTCTGGAAACTATAATTACGTTCAAAATGATGGTGTCACAATCCATAATGGTGCAGCTTATTTTAATGGTCATACTGGTTTAAGAATACCCCGATTTGCTAACATGGATTTCGGCTCTCAACTGATGATAAAGTTTCGCTACAAGAAAGAGACACAGATCACGAGAAAACAGGCTGTGATATCTAATGGTGATTGCAGTACTAGTGGATCATTATATATCATCGCTGCTGATAAATTTACATCTTTTGGTATAAAGACAATATCACATCGAGCAGCGGCAGTAACAGTCCCATCAGAGGTAACAATTAGATTTCTTTTAAATAAGACAACGCACAGTAGTGTCCAATGAGGGATTTTTTTTACGCAGATACAATATCGTTATCCTTTGTAGTTGCCTTTGCACTAATGGATCCAGAACCTATTGCAGTTCTTACACCCTTCATTTAGAAGTAATGCGAGGGAATAAGTTGCAAAATATTCTTAAATCTATTGAAATTAAACGAACCGCTCCAATATTTATCAACATTCCCTCAAATCAGCGAAAATATTTTCTACTAGATTTGTATTATTTTTTAGGATACAGAATGGAGAGACACTATGTTTTATTTAGATGGTAATTTACTATCTGGAAGTGTTAATGGCGACTCGTCACAAACTTTAGCAGGTACTAGTTTCATTTGTGTATACATCTTAACAGAATTATCTGCAAAACCTCTTACCCAATTGATTTTGTAGCCGAATGGGCACATATGTTTAAAGAAGAGTTCTTATTTTAGCTTTGAAATTCAGTGAAGGTTTAATTTTATTAATTTTCAATATGTTCTAGGTCCAATTCAAAGAAAGAATTGTGCCATACAAATTGGTCGAGGAACAGGTTTTGGTAATTTTAAAGGTTATATTGATGATGTAAGTACACATAATAAAACATTGTATCGCGGAAGTTTGTAAATGTAGGGAATTGATTGGATTGTATGCTAGCAAATACAACCAATCACAGCCCTTGACAGAAAGTATGTGTAGAATTTTCTGTCGAGAGCTCTTATTAGCTGTATGTGTTGGCGTACAATCCAATCAAATCGTTGCATTCCATTTACATGATACAAGAAAAATTTGCTATAGCAGTCAAGGCGAAGATGCTAGACAGATACATTCAGATAGTCGTACAGTACGACGAACTTCCGGTTGACGTATTTCAATGATAATCTGTAAAAGGCAATACCAAAATTTTACCCTAATTCATGTCATTTCTGTTTTATTTGCAGTTAAAAATTTATTTATGTAAACCAAATAAGAAGTAAAGATGGATTAATCGTGATGATGTGTGTAAATGATGTGTTCAATGTGTTCAGAATATGTGTTTGTTGTGCCTTGTATTTTATAAGGAGAATTTTTGTTAGTCCATTAATGCGGCTTAAATATTCTTTATTTATTAATATTTATTGTCAAGTTTGTGTTAATGACTATATAAAATCAGTTGGCAGTAAAAAGAATGAATGAAACAACTATAACAAACAAGGATAACTACTTAGATTCACATCTACCAGATGGCCCTTGGCCAAACCTCTTGGCATTGATCTTTCTAACTAGCAACTCGTGCTTAATTCTCAATACATGTTCACGAGTTTTCATAAAAAGGCAACCGACAAACGATTGTCATTGTTTCTACAGCTATGTGTATGTTATAAAGAACGTATAAGAAAATGAAATCCCAAAGAGTTGTATATAAATTGTATTATATTTTAATTTTTATTTTTGTATTATCAGAATAAATATTGTTAAAACAATGTGATCTATTTTTAAGAAATGTGGAGCGTATATTGCCGTCACCCCATGTCCATCCGTCCATCGGTTAGCCGGTCCGTCCACAATTGATCGTAAACGCTCTAGAAGGCACAATTCTTGACGGATTTTGATGAAACTTGGTGTGAATGTTCGTAATCACCCAAGGCTGAACCCTATTGAAAATCAGAAGAATTGAAAAATATTTTTCTGACCTCGTTCTTGAAAGCGCTTTCAAATTTAGCTTTTAAACACTAAAAGGCATGATTGTTGCTGGATTTTGACAAAACTTGCTTTTATTATTCTGTCCCGCGCTGAAGATTGAATATTTGCCTTCTAAAGTTTTCATGAGCTAAAAATTGAACACGTTTTCAAGAACAAGGGCAATAACTCATACTGAATATTATTCATTATCGTCCTAAAGAGTTCAAAAGAAGTGTATGACTGAAGGTTGAATATTTCATACTGGTGATTGTTACTGTACTGCTAAATTTTTGTATTCAAAATCAAAGCTGCCAGTCGGCGTATATTACCTTGCCTGGCAAGCTATCTTGGTTTGAAGCATGGAAATTAAGAAATTAAAATTGTTGTCTGTAATTCTTGAATTTTGAATCTAATTTTAAAAAAACTTCCACTTGTCTCGTAGTTGTGATTCACTTGATGTGGATTAAAATGTTGAAATTCAGCATTGGTCTTTTTATAGTTAATAAATTCTTTTGCAACCAATTTGCATTAGAAGTCTACGATTCTTGGTTATGGCACTGGTCAGTCTTAATCGGAGAGAATCATTCAACTAGTATTAATGACACTTAATGCGAAAGACATTTTTACTCAAAGCTGCGGGTAGCCAGCTAGTGTTATGTTAAACCAGTCACAGCCACCAAAGGTATTGGCTTAGCTGTAGCCAGCTGAAAATGATCTTTCAAAGAAAAATACAGAGATAAACACAGTATCTAAGCTGTTCGTAGGTAAGTTGCCTTGATATTGTATTTTTGGCATGCTATTTTGTTTGGGGCAGTACTTGTGCAATTTTTATTGGATGACTGTCATATCCAAGGACTGTCAACTACCTGTTGAACTGTGGGGCGTTTTTTTTGGGAGACCCGATATAATAATGTATGTGGTATGTAAGATTTTTGCTGTAGAAAAATTCAGCATTTCAATAACATGTATTATGATGGTTTAGATATTAATGTGGAAGTTGCACTAACCTAAGACATAAGAATTGATCTTACAAATAAGAAATCAACCAATCACCTACACCGTCGTTTCCTATTTCTAGAATAAGAAAGTGCCGCCATGTAGAATCGTCAATCATTAACAAGAACATAAAATAATGTTACATTGGCATCTGAGAGACTTTTTCAATACCCTTGATACTAATAACAGTTAACTTGCTTACATGGATAATGAATGTCTCTATTAAATAAGGTAAGTGAATTTCTTACTTAGTTGCCAGATGATGATTTTGAAAAGCCTTTTCCTTTATCAGGTATAAGAAATGCCTGTAATAATATTGATAATCAGGTATTCTGATTTGTATTGTTAATAACAATAAATGCCTAATCAATCAACTTATTTGTTTTTTTAAAAGGCTATATACACAATAGTGGAAATATGTTTATTAAGATAAACGCTAGTAGCAGTTTTATAACGGATTTTAATGAATGTTCAGCGCTTATTTATATATTATCGCCCTAGGACCATTTGAAACAAATGAGAATTATAAACGGCTGAGAAAGAATTTCATTATACAGACATCCGGGTGATTAGCAATCAGCGCTCGCCTATTAAGGAAGGTTATGGGGGATTCTGAACAAGGAAAATGTTGAAAATTAGGGTTGATCTCCTTGAATCGGAGGCCTTTCCAGACGCTCTCCTCTCGATAGTGTTTAATCCACCCCTCCTCCCTCCACCACACCCATACACACACCTAGAATTTTTGAAAACAAAGGTTTTGAATCCTTACATCTTAGGCCACTTCGGACAGCTTTCTTGTCGACGGCATACGACACTCGACGATACAGGCATGTGACAGGCAGTATCTGAGAGAAACTGTATTTTCAACAAAAAGGTGAGCTGAAGCTTTGTCCACAACCACGTCCATCATTTTGTTGCTATCAATCCTCTATTCCTCTCTTGTCTTTTGGATCTGTGATCTTCGAGTTGGTCTAGTGATCGGTGGATGTTCAGGAGATCTTGATTAGAATATTTTATATCTACATCACTGCTCTTAAACTGCCTTGACAAGTTGAATCGCTGACGGTAACTCAGGTCTTATTCTTATATCTTATAAGAATTTAACGAAATAATAAATAAATATGTTTACAATTGCGCCTTAGGGGCTCCGTATAAATCTCTATTTAGTAATTCTCTTCAACATTTAGTAAATCTATTCTGAATTCAGTTCTTTCTTGAATTTGGTTAATCTCTTCCGCATTTAGTTAATCTAGAATTTAGTAAGTCTCTTTCGAATTTTTGTAATCTCTTCAGAATTTAATCATGCAGTAGGCCTATGTATATCATCATGGAAATATACATTAATGTGCATGTATCGGAAGAAATCTTGAGATAAGTGCTTCTTCAATACTATTGCTTAAAAAGATTTTAAAAGAATTACAATGTTAAATATATGCTATTCAAAGAAAAGCATTCTTTTAGTATTCCATGTTTCCTAGAGACGATATTCCTACGTGATTCCGTCAAAGGTGAAGCTGTATTGTGTTGTTATGACCTTACAGATTTAATGCTCGGAGATAAAGGAAAATGTATTATTCTTCGAATAAAGCATCACTATTTGTTCTCAACAAAGACAAGGATGAGGTGTTATATCCGTAGAATAGTATTCTTAGTGAAAGTAACCATAGTATCAACCTATTCATCTTTTGTCATTTTTACTCAAATAGTTAATACAATACTTAAAGAGAATGTAAAAAGGTTTCTGATTTTGTTAAGTGTATCGGAACCACTCATAGCATGCGGCCATTTTGACGATCATGTACCTACATCACGTGACCAGGCTTTTTGAAAAACCCAGAATCCAGAGTTCCGGATAAGAACTTTTAGCACCATTCTTATTTTCAATCAGATGTGTTTGATGACGCAATCGCAACATATAGTTTATAGCATAAGGACCTTCGCGATAAGTGACGTCATCAAACGGGTTAGTTTTAGTGGAATTGCAGGAACCACAGACGTCTGATTGAAAATTGGTAGGGTGCAAATTGATGCTATCATGAGTGTCTCCGAATTTAGAAAACCACATTACAATCACTTTAAGATAAAAATTAGATCGAATATACGGTCAATGGATACTATTACGACTGGCTATTGTTAACAACATGAACAATGAACCGTTCGCATTGAAGGTATTGAAATTAATGCTAAATAACAATTTTACCTGCATTGCTCTGTTTCTGAAATCTAAGGAACTGGGGTTCGGAATGGTACATAAAAAAAACTGAAACGGTGTACAATTAACATTATAAAGAAACTCTAAAAAAAACATGTTTTTCTCTGCGTAATATTTTTATGGATTGAAAATAAAAATACTGCTATATGCATATATAGACGGAAATAATTAAATTGGGTTTATTAAGTATAAAATTTATACTTATTTAACTGATAGTATATAATATTTATATCAAAATCGATTTGGTTAACCAGTTATTCTAAATAAATTTCCAAAAAATCTATAAATACAGAATTTGTCGTCTCTATGCTTTCAATAGGCCCTACGTCTTACTTGGTACATGATTCCATACAATCATCAATAAAAATGTTGCACTTGAACCTCACATATTACATTTAAAGGGTTAGGTACGAGTCGTCATTTGAACATTCAACCGCAAATAATTCTGGACACACATGGATTTGAAGGCACATTTTACACATTTACGTCCTTTTTTTAATTGATATTCTCATAAGCTAGTTTTCCAATGTTTCTTTTTCGTCAAAATAAAATATATTGACCAAGTTTATTTTCATAATGGATTGTCTGATCTTATGTCCATAAAGCGGTAACACATTAAGCACTCAACTCAATAAGAATTGATTTCATAAGCTTAGGACAGACTGGACGAATTTCATTCGCTGATATTCCGAACTATTTGCCGCCGAATTCACGCAGTGGACACATTGTGCGAATGCCTGCATTGATAACTCGCCTACAAATAAAATTACGCGTACAGAAAAAAGCGAAATTGGAGTTCCTTTGATTTGACGACGAATTTGACGTCATTTAACGCTTCTGGCGTCTGTGATTGGTTGAGTTAAGGTTTGCCACAGTGGAAACACTTGCCCAAGTCGAAGGCAATGAGTATTCGAGCGAATAATATCAAACACGATTGATTTTGGCGAATGGCTTCGGCCGATATTGGGGCGAATGTCGTAGAACTGGACTCACTAGGCGAATTTAGTTGGCGATCGACTCGCTCGAACAATTCGCTATGAAAATTCGCCCAGTCTGTCCGTAGCTTTAACTATCTCTCTGACAATTAAAACATTTCCTCGCGTCCATATAGCAACAAACAGTCCAGTAACGAAAATACCGTCACGGCATCATAAAACATCTATTGTTCACGATGATGGATCGAAGTGTTTTTCCAATACTTGTTATAAAATCTATGGTATAAACGATTATATGGAATGTGTCGGTCTGTTATTGTTGCAGAACGATAAATCTATCGTCTATCTATTTAAATGTATGTCGATTGTTTATTTTTCAGTACTAAGAGTAAAGAAGTTCTTGAAAACTCCTTTGTTTAAAGTAACGTTGCAATGATGTTTATCGACAGTGTTTTACAGTATTATTTCTATGTGATATTTGGATTAATTTTCACCAATTTGCAGTATGTTGGTAAGTTGTTAGTACAACTATTAACTTGTCCTTAGTTTATAGTAAAATATCAGGAAGCCAATACGATGTTTCGAAATGCATAGTCTATAAACATTTAAATCAAATAACAATTATAAATTTCTTATCAACATATTTCCAATATGCTTTGTCTACACTTGGTGAAATGTTGAAAACCTTGGCTAATTAAAAAATTCTCAGCAAAAAATAGGACCATTTTTTTTCGACAATTCTCCAACATTTTAGGTCTACTGCACCTGCAAAACAGGTGATAATGACACCCTGCTTTATCCTCCTAGCTATGTCAAATCTTTTGATATATGGTCTATGCTAGGAGTAGTTGATCATTCTTTGTGGATAAATAACTACCCAATATGCCAGCTTCTCGCATCTGCGAAGACAAGTTTTTCGGGTAAGATGTAGACAAAATATGCAAAACTCTCATAACTGGGTTAGAAATTAGAGCAACATCAGATATTTCGATTTGATTGTATCAAATCAAATTCATTTTTTTCTAAATTTTCGTGAGAGAACCTTCACATATGCAAACCATGTGAGGTTTGCGATTATTACACCTCAACAGAGTAGCCATATTTTGAACTCAGCCTCAACAGTCGTCCCCCCATTAAGAAAATATTCATAACCTTCAGTCGTAATAATATACAATCACACATTTTTCAATCAAATTTACGCCATCTCCATCGTTGGCGTTTTACGAAAGACTGAAGGATTGTTTGATTGGTTAAAGTGGATGTCATCATATTAGGTCAAAAGGTTATTTTGACGAACGTTCAAGAGTCCGGCCGTTAGACCCTACTTTGAAGTTGCTACACTAAAAATAAAAACTAAATAAAAAACGAAACGAAAGCCGACATCTAAAGAAATAAGATTGGTAATCCTAGTTTTTATTTTTGAAGGAATTATGCGATCTGTGTACAATTTAGTACCCCTGAAAACTATATACATATATTCAAGCCCTAAACTAGCGGAACAGTCCCTTTAAGTTATATCTCGTAGAGCTTGACTTTAAATGAAGGAACCACAGACGTCTGACAGAAAATTGAAATGGCACAAATAGGTACATTTGATTAGATAATCGGCATTATCATATCTTTTCAGAAAGTAGTGGAAACTCAACATCACACAGAATGATATACTATTTAAACATTATACCCAGGACATGGAATGAAGCTAAAATATTATGCGCTGGACAGGATGCAACTCTTATAATTATCAAAGACAATGAAATCAAACAACGACTAGAATATATAGATTCATATACAGAATGGAATGGTAATTTTAGTTCAATGTAAGTATAGTTCTTAATGGGCAAAGTCGTCAAAATACTGTCTGAAATGACGATGATCAAGACATTTCAATAGTATTTAAAGGGATTTTAAAGAGGTTTTCTAAATTCTTATGTGTATCGGGGATAGTGATATCACCAATTTGACGTCTGTGGTTTCTGCAATAACACTAAAACTAAGCGTTTTATGACGTCACTAATAGAAAAGGGCCTTATGTGATAAAGCATATTTTGCCATAAGTGACGTCATTAAGCACTTTTAGTTTTAGTAGAATTTCAGGAACCAAAGAAGACTGATCAAAAATTGGAATGGTGCAAATTGATGCTATCGGTGTTCCAGACACACATAAAATACTTAGAAAACCTCTTAACAATCTCTTTTAAAGGTTAGCATTAAAAGACTATTGCAACTTTGAATCGAAATTGATGAATGAACTAAAATGGAAAGGTAATTGATTGAAAAAGTATACTTTATAAAGCAACAATTCAACAGGAGGCTATTTTGTTTATAACACAATTAAGCTAGTACGACAATGTGGCTAGATTAAGTCACTTGAATTTTCTAGCTCTTTCAATCAGGTTTCAGTTTCCATGATTCCAAAAGCTTTGGTACATCAATACACTATCTTCAACAGAGCATGAATTAATTATTAGCAACATCAAGCACCAATTACGCATGGTTTGTTCAAAGATATTTAAAACCTTTCAAAGCGTAGTGAATCTTTCCTATTAAATATTATCAATCTTTATAGTGCAGAAGCAAGTAGGGGTTTGGTAAAACGAACTCTTAATTTTAGTGGACTTGCAGGAACGACAGACTGGAAATTACAATAGCGCAAATTCATGCTGTCCGCGATACACATAAAAAATTTAGTTAACCTCTTTAAAATCTCTTAAATTACACAGGAAAATAAAATTTTAAAAAAAGTAGATAAAAAGCCTTTAGGCGATACATATTTTATTGCAAAGATTAATTCTATATTTAAAAATGAAAACATGTACGATTTGCTAACATTGACAATTCGATTTAATAACAAGTGGTTGCCTAGCAAGATACGCCCAGTTTTAACATATTTTCTTTATATCAAGAGTTGAAACTCCACCAATATTTGTCTAATCGAACCCAAATTTAAAACAGTCCAAGACCTTGTGGGTACAATCCTCTACATAAAATTGTACTAAAAACCTCTATTGCGTTCACAAGCCACATTTAATGCATTTTCTATGTATCAAAGATTAAAACTATATCAATAAATTTGTCGAATCATACCCAAATTTGAACGTTATTAAAATCCGAAAAAAATGTGGACTCGCGCTTTGTGGTCGGACCGACGTTCAGGAGGATTGGCAGGGACGACAGCAATGTACGTCCACATTATAATGTAGATTTATAAAAACGATCAACTTTAACAGGTGGTAGAGCTCCTAATAGCTCATTTCATAGTGTGATTACAATTTTAAGGCAGGAAGTCTTGCGATCTATTTTTTTAAGGAACAGATCAATCAGCTCATATCAGCTTCAATCGGCATTCATCACCATTAGGCTCAAACAATTTAGTCGATTCTCACACATCACGCTTCTAGTAAACAATTTTCGTTGGGCTTGCGGAAATTTATTAACTGTTTGATAATATTTACTGTTACAAAATTTGTCATGTGCCGAAAGGCATCTGCCTAGTTTGCCTATAGTTTAATCCGCCTCTGGGTGGACGACCATTAATTTCTCTTTGCACACAGCGAAGTACACTTTCAATTCAATCTTATGGCTCAAATTGATAATTGATGTAAAAGAAGTATGTTTTCTAGTTGTGGCCTTCTATATTAAAGTAATCTTCAATAACACGAAGCATAATGACTTACGTCATTAACGCATATGGCAGATTTGAGTACAACTTGATCTGTAAATATAAAACAAAAATTACATAAGACGTTTTATTTCAATAGAAAATCATTAAAGGAGATCGATAAAGCTTTGAATTTTATAAGAATTAGGTTATATTCCACACAATTTCATTCTCATATTCAATTGTTTTCTTTCTGCAACAGCAAATTGATCACAATTAAATCTCCAGTATAAATATTTGTTAGGCGATACGACAAGAAATTCTCTTTATATTTCTTTCGAACAATCAATATCTCCAAGAGAACTGAATGGGCTGTAGTAGTTCAGAAGGTTGAAGACTTCAAAAACACAAAATAAAAACACATTTTTGAAAACGCCTAAACGAGCCAGAATTTGTTTTAAAAAAAGAATCCTTTTTTCTTTTCTGACCTACAACATTGCGATATAAAAAAACGTTATTATTTTAATTCTGCGTTTGTCAACTTTGCAACAAAACAATTGCAAAACTTGTTCCAATATTGTGGCCAAATTTTTGAAACTTCGATGATTCCCTTACCCCAAACCAAATATTCTATATTATTATTCAAACTTACTTCACAAATATTGCTCTCTCACTAGAGGTTACGGCTACATACCCGCGCCTGTACTTTCGTTACATTGCTTACAACCTAAAATTCCTTACCCTAGACAAAACTATTGCTATATTTCTTACAATTATGGTGGCATTACAGCCAAAATACCAAATTTGATAAAATTGTAGTGTTTCTAAAATTTTTTAAAAGTGCATGTCAGAGTACATCGCCAACATTAAAGACAACCCTTAGGAAATTTATAATAGATGTATAAATAATTAATCGCACCCATTATCATATAGATTAATTCATTGTGATTGATTTAGCCTTGTATGAAAACGATCAAAATCCCACTTGTCAATTAGATTGTCATATCATCGATTCTTTTTTTATCGTTTTTTCACTTTGCTTGAGAAGATTTGGACTTCCAAATACTATATTCGATGAGAATACAAAAACCATATTGCAATGGGCATTCCAGATTGTAGAGGGTAGTCGTTTTTTTCAGTTGTAGACCTGGCGAACTTAACAACAAATTTTCGAAATTCCAGGCACGATTTGCAAGATCACAATGAGACTAAAATGGAGTTTTATCACCTCTTGGTAAAATCTGAAATATTTATTATTCACCATCACAGATTTACTGTAAACAGATATACATGCATGGGTGTAGAACTTCGACGGAAACATTACCTTCTACAGGGGTTTTCAACCTTTTTCTTTCTATTATCCCTTTCGGGATCCCTGATCGCTTTCACCATATAAATCCTTACAATTTCGTGATTGTTTTTCATGTCGGAGAATATGACCTGACTGAATAGAACGAGTTAAATTATTAGTGTTTCATTTCTCACATCAAAGATCCTACCCCACCCCCCACCCCCTTTTTTTAGAGATAAAGAGTGCAGACAGGTGTACAGTTTTCATTTTATTCTGCCATATGAAAAAGTTTGCAAGTAATTCATAGACAAAACCAGGAAATAGTAAGGATTTATATGTTGAAAAAAGGTTGAAAACCCCTGAACTAAACGATTATGCCTTTCGTATCACCGCACGTGTCAACACAATTGAAATTCGATTGTATCGGTGTTCAAATGTTATAAATTTGATATCAATATTATGTGGAATTACTGGAAATACCCTTGACTTCACCATTTTATATAAAAATATTTGCCAGAACACAGTGTGATCGTATTATATCATATTGTGGATATTTTGAACACGCAAAATCGCAAAAACCGAATTTAATTATCATTTTCAGGCTTCAAACCACACCGTTTTGGATTGGATTATATGAAGATAATTCTACCTATTTCTGGGAAGGATGTAATAAGATGGATAATTGGCCATTTTGGGGTACAACTACTCCAGCACCGAGTTCCAATGATAAATGTGTATCTATTAAAAACGGTTACATTGGTTCAACAAATGAATGCAATCTTAAACAACCATTCATTTGTCAAAGATACCATGGTAAGTAATCTCAGACATTAAGGGGGAAAGATATACTCTTCGACCACTGTGTCCGCAGAATTGAATATTTTTGTCACTAAAATTCGAAATGTAATTTGTCTTAAAAGAAATATAAGTGTTGATTTTATCTGAGTTTTTAAACCATATTTTGGTGTCTAGAATTTTATACCAGTCTGGTGTCTAGAATTTTACACCACAGTCTGGTATCTCGAATTTTTCACCACAGTCTGGCGTCTATAATTTTAAGCCTTAGTCTGGTGTTTAGAATTGTAAACCACAGTCTGGTGTTTAGAGTTGTAAACCTTAGTCTGGTGTTTAGAATTTTACACCACAGTCTGGTGTTTAGAATTGTAAACCACAGTCTGGTGTTTAGAATTTTAAACCTAAGTTTGGTGTTTAGAATTTTACATCACAGTCTGGTGTCTATAATTTTAAACCACAGTCTGGTGTCTATAATTTTATACCAGTCTGGTGTCTAGAATTGTAAACCACAGTCTGGTGTCTAGAATTTTAAACCAGTCTTGTATCTAGAATATTGTAAACCAGTATTATCTCTAGAATTTTACACCACAGTCTGGTGTTTAGAATTGTAAACCACAGTCTGGTGTTTAGAGTTTTAAACCTTAGTCTGGTGTTTAGAATTTTACAACACAGTCTGGTGTTTAGAGTTTTAAACCTTAGTCTGGTGTTTAGAATTTTACATCGCAGTCTGGTGTCTATAATTTTAAACCACAGTCTGGTGTCTAGAATTATAAGCCACATCCTGGTGTCTAGAATTTTATACCACAGTCCGGTGTCTAGAATTGTAAACCACAGTCTTATCTCTAGAATTTTTATTCCACAGTCTTGTATCTAGAATTTTATACTACAGTCTGGTATGTAGAATTTTATACCACAGTCTGGGGTCTAGAATTCTATACTACAGTCTTGTATCTAGAATTGTAAACCACAGTCTGGTGTCTAGAGTTTTACACCACAGTCTTGTGTCTAGAGTTTTACACCACAGTCTTGTATCTAGAATTGTAAACCACAGTCTGGTGTCTAGATTTTTTTCACCACAGCACCAAAGTCTTGTGTCTAGAGTTTTACACCACAGTCTTGTATCAAGAATTGTAAACCAGTCTGGTCTATAGAATTTTAAACCACAGTGTGGTTTTTGGAATTTTATTCCACAGTCTTGTATCTAGAATTTATACCAGTCTGGTGTCTAGAATTTTATACCACAGTCTTGTATCTGGAATTGTAAACCAGTCTGGTGTCTAGGTTACCAATGATATTTGTTACAGACTAAACTTGAATTCTACACCAAAATAAGTGTTGAATGCAATGTTTGTCATTGTGTGTTCCGAGGCAATTAAATAGGAGTGTAGTAATTATTAGACTGATTGATAATGAATTCTGATATATTAACATGTAAACACGGAAAGTATAAAGATATGGAATAAAAATAGATCGATAAAATCGAAGTGTTGCAGACAAAAGAATTTCTATGGAGTACTGCCTTTCTCCGCATTGTTCTTGGTTAATCAATTTTTCATTTATAGATGTTTAGATACACTTCTTGTCGTATAATATAATAATGAAGGAAAACTTGTTATTCACTTTTAAGTATCATATTTGTTAGCTTATTTTAAAAGATCAATTGATTATTGACCTATATTTCGCATTTCCATATATACATGTATTAACTTAATGCATATTAGTGAAATTGTAACAGTTCGTTATTATGTGATTTAAATGATTAAAGAGACAGATTCACAATCTGTTTGTCCAATCGTACCTTAGTCTCAGAAACGAGATTTCTTTTAGCTAAGTTATTCATTTATAGTGTTCACAGCTCACCCTCGATATTTGAGCCCTCAAGTCCACGTGTGTCCAGAATTATCTGTGTTTGAAAGTTTAAAAAGACGACTCGTATAAAACAATATAGAAATAGAAAGAGAATTTCCTAGTTTGGGGTATTTTGAAAAAATTAGAGGATTTACGTACATTTATAGTACTTCTGTAGACTATTTACATATTTTTAAGATCCAAATCAACCCCCGAAAATGGCTAACTCGTCCCTTTAATTAACAACATTACTAAAACGACCAAAGCCTACAATGACTTAATAATAAACATCTCTTTCATTCAAATAAAATAACGGGACAAATTAAAATTAATTAGCATTAATAACTTGGTTTTGTCTCATCTAATACAGAGACATCATGTGAAACATATTGGTTGTTAAAAACTTGTTACTTTATTATGAGTGCTGGAAAATCCTTTTGCTCACTGATCTGTATCGTTAAATGAATTTTGTATGTCAATTGTTTGTAGCACAATGTATATGCAGCATCGAGTTCTTTAATCATAAGAGTAACAAAGCTAAGAAGTATAGCCATAGACGTTTAATGAATTATTTAAGCATCCACAATTCTTGTGAATTTCAGGTGAATGCTGGTTCGATCCAATACCATTTAATACAACAATAGATGGTATAACACCGCCATCCACAGTAGTAGAAGATGAAGCAGCTTGTGCTCAACTATGTCGAAAATCATTACACAATTCACAAGAATGTTGGGCATTCTCTTATCAGTTTACAAGTAAAAACTGTTTTCTACATTACCATGCCGATTTTTCAGCTTATATTAAACCTGATCGAGTTTTACAAGCAGACTCTTCTAAAGTTTTCTACACCAAAATGTGTTTTGAAGGTATATATCAGCTAATTTTGTTTTGATAAATCACATCAAAAAGGAATAATTTCAAAATTTTTCTATTGAAAATGCTAACAATAAAATTTATGATTTCATTTGAAAAATATGATTTCACTAAAAAGATGACAGTTTTATGATTCACTTGGATTTAATGATTTCACTGAAAGGGGGACAAGTGGATCTTAAAATTTCATTGAAAAGAAAAACAGTTTACTTCAAACTGGCGATTTCGCTATGATTATGATTCATTTTATGATTAAGTTGGAACTGAAGATTTCGTTTAAAAGAAGAGAGTTTTATGATTCATTTGCAAGAATTTTGTTATCATTTACTTGGAATTTGCGATATCGTTGAAAGAAGACAATATTATGATGAAAAAGATGATAGGGAACAGTAAACTGTCTAATCTGTTCATAAAAAATCATTTTCTATGAGACCTTTGTTTAAAATTCAGGCCATCAGTCACCAGATTAAGCTTCAATAAGGTCAAGACCATGTTAAATCATATTCGAGAGAACCAAAGAAAATTAACGTTTTTTTTAGTTATCTGCGTGCTTTATTGTTTAACATATTCTGTGTTTTTTTTAATTCTTATAGTATTTGACATTCACAGATTTCACTAAATAAGGATGAAACATCATTATTTTCATATGATAATTGATATTTGGTATTTTGTCAATATTCTCTCAGATCAATGACAGTTTATTATAACAAGTTGAAAAACGACAATCCGACGATATGTCTCAAATTATGCAGTTCTATTATCAAAGCAAAAACATTATAAGACTATCAGTATTATTTTCCATTTTTCCAATTCTCTTTAAAAAATATCGAAAAAATTCAAAAAACTTTTTGATTTGCTTAGACAATAGATCTTACTAAAAAAAATAATAATTTAAGAAGAAATACGTATATTTATTTCAATTTGGCTAAACTAAGTCATTTTTTTTTGTAACAGGAGTTAGACGAGTTGATAATAGAACATTAAATTTACCAAATACTACACCATTAATGAGTTCTTGTCAAGGCGTGACACCTTCAACAGACTTCGGTAAGAGTAATTTTTTTCTTTTACTAGCTGATCAGTGGCTTAACTACCATAAAACCTAAGTGGGCTCCCATCTTAAGAAATAAATGCAAAATTAAAAAAATGTAGGTTTTAAAAAACACAGTGTTAAACAGTTCACGATAAGTGTGTCTCTTTTAAAATTGACCCCCTTTGCCAGCTGTACCTTCGAGGCCCCTGATATAAAAATATTTCTCTAGCCAAACCCTCGGGCGCCTTTACTCATCTAGAAATGTAAATGAAATGAATGGAGTTTTACGTTCGACTTGTCTGCACCATGTGGGCTAATGAAGATGGGCAACGCCATGCAGGATACAATGAGGGAAATTTTCCCAGGACAGCAGCATAAGCCTGCTCTTTTTTGATTTCTAACTGTCGAGGGATCTTTAACTTGCACAGTGTGTAGCACACCGGTCCTTGGTTTATTGTCCCATCCGAACGACTAGACGCTTTTTCCATATGAGCCCCTCTTACCTGCATCACTGACGGGGGAAAACTGGGTTGAAAAATCCGAAGGTATCATCTTGACCTGAGTCGGGATTGAACCCTGGATCTTCAGGTTAGTGTCTAACGTTTAACTCATTGAGATACCCCTACTCATCTAGTTCGGGAGCCGCAGTGGCTCAGTGAGTTATGACGCTTGCTCGCTAACCTGAAGGTCCAGGGTTCAATCCCGGCATAGGTCGAGATAATACCTTCGGATTTTTCAACCCGGTTTCCCCCTATCAATGATGCAGGTACGAGGGACTGACATGGAAAAAGCGTCTAGTCGTTCGGATGAGACAATAAACCGAGGCCCCGTGTGCTACAGGCTGTGCACGTTAAAGATCCCTCGACAGTTGGAAATCGAAAAAGAGCAGGCTAATGCCGCTATCCTGGCAAAATTTCCCTCATTGCACTCTGCATGGCGTTGCCCGTCTTCATTAGCCCACATGGAGCAGAAAAGTAGGACGTAAAATTCCATTCATTTCATTTCATTTACTCATCTAGTTGAGCCACTGAAGCTTATGTTTAATGAAACTACTAAGTGAAACGTATACTTCGCTTGATTTTTTAGGAATTATCCACGTATAATAAATAATCATTTATCTTCGGATGCTTCTTTATTTTATGATCGTTCAACCAAAGTTTCTCAAGAAATAAATAAACTATTAGCTACTTGTTTTGAAACACCCCACTGGCCCGATCCTTAAAGATTTCACAAACACAAAGAGAATCAATCTATATTGATCTATGATTTCCTTGGCTGATTGATTACCTTTCAGTATTGTTTATGTTAATAATAGCAGACCTTAAACATGTCGATATACTATTATGGTAAAAGAATAGATATTATCTCATTTTAATCAAGTTATATTAAATGTCGCACCACGAAACAGGATTTCGAACTAAGTACATGTAAATATGAAAATTGCTAACGAATCTGTCAAAACATAATTTTAGTTTGATGATCTTCAAATATTAGTTTAGGAAAATGTTAATGAAAATGATATCCATATTTTCAGACAGTTGAATCAAGCTGAACACATTTTTTATGGGTCTGACTAAAAAGCGCAAACAAGAGCAAACAATCACAAACGAGCGCAAACAATATTCTCGAATAAAAAATTACAATGAAAGATCCATTGTAAATATGGATAACTTGGACTATAACGTGAGTGACTCATCACTTTCAACACAAATTCAATTATTTGTTCGGGATTGGATCATTTTCATGCTGCTAGCGAATTATTAGATCTAAAACCAGATTGTGTGTGTTTCAGAAACGGATGAAGATGTCTGTTATTGTGGTTGTGAAGCGCCACCAACAATTTTCGATCCTGAACTCGAAGCTGACACCCTGGATGACAAAGTGGAGGCAATTCAGAAAGAGCTTACTGTTGATGTGAAAAATACGTCGTCGTCAATACGAAAACTTACAAGTGCAACAGATGACCGTCCTAGTGCCCAGAGCATTGGTTATGTGGGAGTCGCCTTTATGGCTGTGGTGTTTGGTGGAATCGTACTTCTAGATTTCAATCTTTTGGTGGCTGCCATAAGTGATTTCTATAAATCCTGTAAATCCAGAGAAGACTCTCAAAGACTACATGAGTAGTCGAGATTTTGAATTTCTATTTGATTTCTTTTCTGTTTCTCCTTAAAACTTAATTTTTTTTTAGATGTGTCCGACAAAGTGTAAATAAAGGTGATATTTTTGTTTGCATCATTCCTGGAACTTTATAGTCTGTTGAAACCCAACCCACATTTTCATTAGAAGTTTGTTTGTATAACGTTATATCGGTTGTTCAAAAATTATTTTAATATTATTGGCCTTAATCTCCAAAACTTAACTTAAATAAAATACAGGAATCTGATTGGATAAGAAAACTGAATTTAAAATCAAACTTAGTAAAACTTAGCAAAAACTGGTAATTTCACAAATAGCAAGTGATAGCCCAAACCTTTTCCTGCTTGAAAAAAATTAAATAAATGGTTACAGATTTGAACTATCGTCGATATAACCGCCCGTTTTCATTTTAGTGTAGACAAACGTTAATTCTGAAAAACCAATAGGCCTATTGGCATATATCTGTATTTTGATGTGACATCAAGATACATGATATTGATACATATTTAATATATTTACAGATATTGTAACTGTTATGTTATTGTTAATTAATTATTATTATTTTTCTTTCAGTCCACCATTTCGTGCCAATGAAATCTAAGTAAAACATATTTGATTCTATAACTGGATTATTTAAAATTGTATAGATTTTACTGTTTCAATGAGATGCATTCCTTTTTTTCTGAGTTTAGTTTTTAACAGTCCAATTGTAATGATTCATTAAGATTTTGGGACTTTGTCACTACTCTTCCGTGTGGTGTGCTGAAGTTTATTTTCTAAAACAACGACATAAGCCTAAATTCGAGAGATACTATACCGAACGACCAGTCAATCCTAGCAACTTACATCAACGACAAGGAAGACCCGGTTTGAAAAACTTAAGGTACTATTTCTTTGGGAGAAAGCCAAAATGAAATGAAGTATGGGGTCCTGGAATATGCAACGAGGAAACTTTGACCAGGACAGTCATTTCGATTTCGAACTGTCTTCGAACTGGGATTTTCATCTGTTTAGCCTGTAGGACACTAGCCTTGTTTGCTGGGGATTTTTCCACACTTCTGAAGGCGCTGGGGTTTTAACCATGTATTTAGCTCGAATACACCACAACCCGAAATGTTCCGAAAGATAAATATTTTTGTAAGTAGGATGCTTCATTATCAGAATTAATGAGTAAATAAATATATCAAGGAAAATCTCCATAAGTAGTGCCTGTTTTTTCTGTCTACATATTTAGATACACCGGATCTGCAAAACCCAGGTATATTTGGAAAAATGAATATTTTGTAGTTCAGTCATACCATATTATAATATGTCATATCTCCGGTTCCATCAAAGTTTTTTTTGGCGAAACTGATCTAGCATCGGCCATTTAAAACTGCGTGCCCAGCCAAAAGTGCAAAGGTCACAGAGTCACGTGATACTAATAAAACCAAAGTTATCAACATTATTGATAATCATCTTAAGAGTAATTCAATATTATGTTATAGAAAACGTATCTTTGGGGTGTTGAACAGGATATTTTTCTTCGGACTCCAGCTGACAATTGTCAAAATATCTATTAGAGGCTGGAATAGAGGCAGATGTTTCGGACTAGAGAATATAGTATAATATGTACTTTTAACTGGATCTATGTGTCAATATCTCAACAATGGTTTCTAGCTTGAATTGTATATAATCCTTTGAAGAGAATCGATCGGGATGAAAGGTCTGAATATGTTATGTTTAATTCTAGTAATCACTATATAAGTACTAGGTACAAATGTCCTTTGATCGTAATTTTATTGTGCTTTCAATATTCTCTTTAAAAGGGTAAATGTATCGCTACAAATCTGGCCCTACCCGTTCCATGTATGGAAGGCGGAATGGCATTTTATTCAATGCTCTTCATTACTATTTCTTAATTCTTAATTCTAAATTCTTTTCTCTTAATTTGTACGCTTAATTCAATATTTGTCATTTAAAATTTACATTTGTATACAAAATTCATATTTTGTTCTGAAAATGAACATTCTTCGATAAACATTCGGTTTTCCAATTATTGAATTAATAGAATTCTTGCCCAAAATATCCTCAATATAAATCTACAAATACAAATCCAGCTCAACATATCTTCAAATGCTAAACTTCAGACACTATATATGATATATGGATGTGATATCGTCACCAGATCCTATAATGGTCAATTTTTTTAGAATTTTTCACCATGACAAAAGATTGGGAAGACTTTTGGTATTGACACAGAGCTGAACCATTGATAAATCCATCAAGACATTTTCGGATATTCTGCAACATCACAGTGCCTTGGCCGGTTCAACCATACAATCGATTGTATTGTGATACCGAGTAAAGCCCGGTGGATAAGCTTTGTATCGATACTGAAAGAGTTGCCAAATGTAGCTTTTGTCTGATGAAAATTCTCAAAAACTACAGATCCAAAAATGGATCAGAACAAGTCTCATAAAATGCGACCTTTTGAGTCTGCCCTAACCGTGACTAGATCACATCAAGAATAGTCAAGCTATATGGTTGTAGGCTACATGTAAGCGAAATTGTTAATAAGAGCTTACTCGCTTAGCTGAGACCTTGGTTCAGAGTTCCATCCATGGTTGGAATTTAAATATTCGAACTAAATGTCGGTGTAAATCTATGGTATGGCAATTTGTTATAAAACAAACAATATTTATACATAAGGTGTTCATTTAGCCTGCAGGAAGCCTAAAGTAAATATTGCACAAGTTGAATTAGTAAGAATGGTAAATGTCTACTGAACCTATAAACTTTGATATTTTAAAATAGAGAATTTTTCCAATGGAGTATAGGTTATACCGACCAATTGGTGGCGTCAGCCTTCCGAGACTGGGGGTACAAATAGGGACAGACTGACTCAATGGCGTTAACTTGTCATCTACCTACCTACCTACCTCAATGGCGGCTCAACTGTCGAAGCTGCCGTGCGGCAATTCTGTGGAGGCGTCTTGTCGCAAGTCCCGTGGAAGGGTCTGAGAGGGTCATCCCAAGATAATTTTCGAAAAATTGAATTGATTTGGTGCATTCCGACATAATTTGAGGAAAAAAAATTGTTAAATTTATGAAAAATAAAATGAGGGTACACCTGGGGGTGCAAACCATTTTAACACGGGGTCGGGAAGGGGTGCAAATGCGAAATGCCCCTTCTCCCCCCTTTTGTATCCCGATTGGTTCTGCAGCTGTTTATACCTATATCACCAAAGGCTGTCAAAAGTAACATTTAATTTATTTACTATTTTTGAAACCGAAATAGTCATACTTAAAGAGAGACGCCTAAACCGGTTGGTAACACTTAAATAAGGTTAAATCCATGGCGGACAATATACCGTAAGTACAATTATTGATCTCGTAGTTGTAAAGTTTAATATCAGATTCTTTGATGTAATAGAAAATCATAAAAATATCATACTTGATGAAATCTCAGTGGAACTAAAAGCTGAATCGATTAGAATCTCAGCAACTGTACAAAACATTGAGTTGCGTATGAATGGCCTTAAAGGGAATATAAAGAGGTTTTCTAAATTGTTTATGTGTATCGGGGACACTGATAGCATCAATTTGAACCATTCCAATTTTCATGGAAAACTAACGCGCTTTATGACGTCACTATAGTGGGGAACTGCGTGGATAGCTCCACTTAGTGACGTGTTAAATGCGTTAATTCAGTGGAATTGCAAGAACCACAGATGTCGGAATGAAAATTTTAATGGTGCAAATTGAAGCAGTGGTGGAGCCAAAAGGGGTGGGGGGGGGGGGGGGGGCGCACAGCCCAGAAAGTGGGTTTTTGGGCAAAAATCTCATAACTAGGTTAGAACTTCCCATTCCCCCACCCCACCTCGAACGTAAACCTGGCTCCGCCACTGAATTGAAGCTATCAGTGTCCCCCGTTACACATAAAAAAAATAGAAAACCTCTTTACAATCCCTTTAAATAGAATATTCAACGAGATGTTGATCTGGAAAACCATGGCGGCATTGTACTCGCATAGGTTTATATCCCCTATAATGATGTCATTATATTATAAATTATTCAGGCGAAGGTGTCTCCACGACTGAAAAACAAGAACATGTGATACTTTTACGCCATTCTGGCCTAATCTCGAGAGCATGCTATTAAAGGTTTGAAGACATACTTAGAACGAGTATAGGTATTAGAATAACCGGAAATCGTCGTTAGCCACATGTGATCTGTGTCCACGACAAATTCACTATAGCGACGTGAAATTTAAGTTCATAACGTTTATGTCACCTGAATGTAGATCGTTGTTGTACAGACGCAAATACTAACCTGAGATTGCTGTTATTGAAAATAGTGCCTGAGGACGACGGGGGAAACACGTCGAAACGTTGCATAAATCTTTAATCAGTGATTGTTGTTCCATAAAGCTGTGTCTATATATCGTACTCACAATTGCTAAATGCCATTCAAAGACTTTAAGAGAGTCGATCGTTCCTTGGTATCGGGAACGAGTATTGTTCAGGTAGATTAATCTGTTATAGCCTTCACAACTTGATTGAAATGAAAATTGTTAAATAATATATATAAACCATAATAGTGCCTTCTATTCGCTTTTGTGTTTTACCATGAACATCCTGTAATCCATTCCGATTGAATTTGATTATCTAATCTAGTCTATCCAATTAGTTTAAAATCAATTGGTCAATTCAAATCTATAATGAGATTAACGGATTATTTCTAATCGGCTTAAACTCCAGCTGATAAACAACAAATCGTCAACAATATAGCTAACAACAAATAAACAATTAACATGACAACTGATCTTTTATTTTAGGTATAAATAGAAATCTTGACCAACCACAAGACATTAGTTGCTAACATCCTACATTAGTTTGGTAAACTTCAAATCTTCCTGCAAGCTTCTCGTCTTAAGACTCTCGCCAACTTTTGTACTAATTCTTCAAAATGGTAAGTACGTCTTATGTATTTAAAACGCTCTGAAA